CCTGCCAAATATGCAGCCATAGGAATTTCAAAGGAAGTTCCTTTGAAAGAACATCCAGGATTTTTGGAAATACATGATCCTTACTAAGGCCATCAGGTTTTTTTTTTTTTTTTTTTTTCCTATGTGGTGCTGGAGATTGAATCTAGGTACTAATAATTTCCATTAATTGTTTTGGTTAAGATTTTTATCACACGCCGACACAGATAAGAGCATACAACTGAATCAGTGGTGGTGTCTGTAATGTGGATGCTGAGCTTGGATTAACATAGAATTGACACAGATTCTGAGCTTTCTCCATAATCAGATCCAAATGCACTAACAAGAAGCCCCAAATGAGTATCATATAACCAAAACAAACATGAGCTATTTCAGTATGGACTAACTAGACTAAATATGGGAATGGTATTAGACCTAATAAATGCAGCATGGTCATCAGTGCTATGATATATATATTTTCACAACTGCAGTGAAAGCAGAATTGTTTTACTTAAACCTTCCTTTTCTTGAAACCATTCTCAGGCTGGTTCCTGCAGGAGGAGTGGGTGACAATCCTATAATTAGTTTTTTGGGTGGCTAAAACTGCATCACTGGTAGTCTTGGAGAGGATAAGCAGGTTCCCAAACTGCCACCAGCTGCCCAAGACCACAGTGCAGAATTGGAAATGGTCTGTGATACTGGAATGCTGAATTCCAGTTGCCAGATCCACAAATACCCCTCCGCAATGATACAGCATGGGAAAAATGGCAGATTTTAAAAAATTCCTTCGCTGACCGAAGCGGATTCCACAAGAACGACTTCAACTTTTCACAGAAACACAAAAGCAAGTAACTATTATGCTGTAACAGAAATATTTATTCTCGCCTGGGAAAAGGTAAAGTCTAGGTGTCTACTTGCTGTAGCTCCTTCTGCTAATGAACATGTATTGCTGCCTAGAGATTTTTTCCCCTTTTCTCCTAAATCTAAATGCCCAGTATTCCTATGGGGAAAAAGTCTTGTGTACCTGTGAAAAGGGTGTTAATGCTGATGTGTGCTTAAACCAGGCTGGATCTCTGAGGACCTCTGGTCCCCTTTCTATTTGGGAAGCCACAAAGAAGGGCTGGCAGTGAGGGTGAAAAGGAGGAGCTTTTTGGAATGAATATTTCATACTTGTCATAATTCAGCCCAAGCACTGATTTAGGGATACAGAAAAGAGGCTCTGGCTGCCTTGTATGTAAAGAGTATAAACATTAGATAAAAACTAGAAATATCGATTGCCCATTTAGGCCTTTGGCTCTTGAGAATAAAACATCCAGTGGTTCCTTCTAATTTTTATTGTTGTTTATTGTTTGAGGCAGGGTCTTGCTTTATAGTACAGACTGGCCTTGAGCTCACTATGTAGCCCAGGCTGGCCTCAAACTTGTGGTTACCCTCTTGGCTGGACAGCTGGGCTCTGTCTGGATGCTGGGGTCAGAAGGTTCAGTGGGTATCTAGTTGGGAATGACAAAAACCAGAGCGTTCTTGTGGATGTTGATGGCTCTCTCTCTGGGCACCCTAAGGTTTCACCTCTAATTAAGTGATTATGTTGAGACAACAGAACCCACTAGAGAAAGAAAATCATCCAATTTCCCCAGAGAGGCTTCCTCTTTCCTGGAGCTCATGTGTGATCCCCAACTCCCCTGTGATATATCTCCTTTCTTAGGGACAGACCTCCCAGAGCAGCTGTCCCTACTCTGTCCCCATCCTACCTCCCAATAATCAGCACTGGAGGCACAAGACTCAGGTGAAGGGAACCACTGATTCCTGAAGGCCAGGGCTAGATGAAAGAGGAGGGTGGACTGCTGTCTGGCTCATGGATCTCATGGAGTGCTGCTTCAGCCAGGAAGGGCCTGTAGATGACCACAGGGCCCCTCTCCATGCCCTATGCTGGGTGCTCCCTCCACCCTCCGCAGGGTGGGGGGCTGTCTGCCCTGCTATCAGATCTGGATCCTTCCACAGAGGTGACGCATTTCCTTCGCCAAGATTCCTACAGCAATGCTTAAACTCTACTGAGTGTGACAACAGGGATCTTAAAATGATTGCCCAAATCTGTCTATCCTCACACTCACTTTGGGAGGTAATGTGCAGAGCTACACTTCATGGGGAAAACTGAGGCACAGTTTCCTATGTGTACAACAGAGGAGGAGACCTCGTTAATGTTCCCATTACTCATTCCCAATACCAGTGAGTTCTGACACTGAAGTGGTATTTCCCATAGCCCTATTGCTTCTAGGAACCATTCCATCAAAGGGTTAAGATTCTAAATCTGACTTACAGAATTCAAAAGGGAGCTGAGCATGGTGGCACATTCTGGTAACCCCAGCACTTGAAGAGAGGCTGAGGCAGAAGGATCACTGCAAGTTTGAGGCCACCCTGGGCTATATAGTGAATTCAAGGTCACGTTGTACTATAAAGCAAGACCCTGTCTCAAACAACAAACAAACAACAATAAAAATTATAAGGAAACACTACCAAAACAACATTATCATCAACATCATCATCAACCATCAGCACCATTACCACCAATGCAGTTCACAGAGAGGGACATTTCTGAGTTGAGTCAGGATCTCTAAGAACTTCAGGATGGATAATAATCAGTTTTCTGGTTACACAAAGGAAGTCTCTGTATTGCTAGTTTATTACTTAAAGGGCCTCAGTGACAGCAGGCATAGCTCTGAAGGTTCTAGAACTAAAGATCAGATCCTAAGCTTAGCATTTTCTGACATCCCTATGACAGGACCACACTCCAGGCACCCGTGCTATTAGGTTAAAATAACAGAAGTGACTCTAAAAAGGTTTTTAAAGATGTCAAATGCTGCAGGATGTAGTGACACAGGCCTGTCATCCCAGCTACTCTGGAAGGAGAGGCAGGAGGATCACAAATTCAAGGCCAGTCTGGGCAACTTAGTGAGACTTTTTCTCAAAGTAAAAATTTTTAAAAAATGGGCTGAAAAGTAGCTCAGGGGGAGAGGGCTTGTCTGGCATATGCAAAGTCCTGGGTTCAAGTCCCAGTACTGCACCAGGTAAAAAACAGAAGAAAAAGGAAAGATCAAATACTCTTGGCTACTGCGGATGGAATGCGCTTTAATCAAGTCACGAATATTTCTCAGTGTTAAAGATTTTTTTCTTTGCTCATTATACATCTAGAAAAAAGATCATAAATATTGGGGAAACCAGTTTTGTTGAAGGAAAACTTGAAAAAGCAATGAATAACAGTGAAGAACCCAGAATATTATAATTTTTATTATAATTAAACATCATTATTTGAAAATCCTAAACACTGGTGCTATTTTACATCAGTGAGTGAAATATTTTTTTCCTTTCTTCCCCTCTTCCTTATTCTTTTTGGTACTGAGGATTGAGCCAAAGGCCTCAGCACTCAGCTACAACCCCAGCCCTTTTTATTTGGAGAGGAAGTCTTGCTGTTGCCCAGGCAGGACCTGAATTTGTGATCCTCCTGCCTCGACCTTCAGAGTACCTGAGATTACAAGCGTGAGCCACTGTGTCCAGGTGGATAAATATTTCTTGATGAGCTTTTCCTATTTTTAAAATGGGTAGAAAACAAGGCTTGATCCAGCTTTTCAGGACTCAGCAATACTTTCTGGTACTTGGAGGCAAATGATGATCTTTGTGCTCACTTGCTATTAGTGACTTAACTCATTCTGCAGATCAATGTCCTGAAAATTGGCTGCAAGAGGTGGGTTTTACAAGGAATGCATGGGGGTTTAATCCCCTGACTCCTATTAGTGTAAGAGCTGCGAGTCTAAATCTCCTTGCAGCCGGCCCAAAATTTACCTCCTGCTGCCTTGGGGATGCCAATTAAATCATAAAAACCAAGACTGGGGTCACATGTAATTAGTTGGAGGACAGAGTTTTATAATTTTCCTCATGCCAAGCAAACAAGTGAACCTCTCTGCCAGAGTAATTTGGACAAAGAGGACACACATCTCACGTGGGAATTTTTTTGTGTGCTATCTGTCAGGATGTGCTCTTCTGGGGATGGGTAAATGAGGAAAGAACTCTGGCTGTGAATAGTTGGCGATGCAGTGTATGGAGTTGTTTTCTTGATCTATTCTTTTTTGAAAATAATCTTTCAAGAGTCCAGTTGGTCCAGGTTTCATGAAAAAATGTGATACGTCTTGAAAACATGATTCAGTCACGTACGAGGCAAAGCTGGTCGAGAAAAATCATACAGGGTCTGCCCCAGCCACACTGTGAGAGCATGGGACAGTGGTCTTGTCCCAGCGGCCTCCTTGGGGACCTCCTTTGTGGGCTGGAGTTCTGCTGCACCCTCTACAGGCCTGATGAGCACTCAACTGCTGCCCATGTGGGAACAAACCCATCCTGAGTTTCCCTCCAAATACATGTGACTCTTGCAAGCCGGAATAGTAGGGAAAAGGCAAGGTGGTATGGGAACTTAGGACTATGTCTGGAGAAGGCAAAGTTGTTGTCTTGTATTTGTGGTTATTTCTGTTTCTTTGGTTTAGTTGGGGGAGAAGGAAAAGGGAAGGAGGTAAGAGGAAAGTGAAGTTAGTAAGAACTCTTCCACCTACAGGCCATTCATGGTGAGCCGCTGCTCTAAAGGTTCCAGTTTTAGGTGAGTGTTCGCTCTTATCTGTCTTAACCCGATGTCACAAGCACAATTCTAATGCGCTGGTTTGAACTGGAAAACCCTGGGACACAAGTTGGAGAATAAGTGTGACATAAGAGAAGGGTGAACAGAATTGTGCCAGGGCCCCGGGGCATGGATGAAGCAACACTGGAGTGTTCACCTGTGTGTGTGTACATGCACACACACACACATGTGCACACTGTAAAGGATTAGCTAGGGAGAGACACGTAGTGAACTATAGTTATGATGAAGAAAACCGTATTTTTTTTCCCCATGATAAGTGTCAGACTGTTAATCCACGGGAGTCACACTGAAAACATTCATGAAACAAGGAGGCTGCTTCTAAAGAGATTAGGAGCTGGGAGCCAGAACACTGATTTGAACGTATTTCAATTCCAAAATTTTCTCATAAAAATATTCACAGAAATGGGTGGACGTTCTTTTTCCATACAACTCAATTCTCTCATGTACAACATAGGTCATTTAATGTAACGCTTGCAACCTTAGAAAGGCAGACATATTTTAATCCAAGTCCATTTATAAATTTCAAATTTCACATGGATTAAAAACTGCAGATAAATTAAGTCACAATAATATCCTGTACATGCGTTAAGGCTGTTGACTGCTGAAGTCTCTTGGGTATCTACAAACAGGAAATCACACGCAGATAACTGGGTCTGAAGAGTGCCTACATCATTAAAAAAAATCTTGCTTTCTGTTTTTTTCTTTTCTTTTCTTTTTTTTTTTGGTGATACAGATTTCAACAGTAACTCTGGAAAACTGTGAAAAATGTTATTTAAAAATATATATGTATATGCTACTGCACAGTTTCAAAGATGTGGTTCATAAATAATGTTGGCTGCACTGATTCGTTTTATAACAATGACTGTACTTCCAAGGGGATGTGAACACGCAGTGACTTATACTCCGTATTAGGCACTAGTAATATCCGTCAGGTGTACTACAGTTTTATGTTAGCTGTATTGTACATATATATTTTTAAATGTATGCATTTATACAAACTGTATACCATGTATGGGGTGTTGGAAATGTACACATCACTGTTCTATAATACACACATCATTGTTGTACATAGCAGGGAAAGTTTTAGTGCAGAAAGTCTCATTGCATTGCATTCCATGGTTCAATCTAGTACACAATTTGTCCACTCATTAGATTACTTTTCCAGTACGTTCCTCTTTAGATAGTGGGTCCGAGTTTCCATTTGCAATTTGGAAGTTTCCAGAAGTATCTGCTTTAACCAGACCTCTCTCCAGGCACAATTCTGCACATGAGTTTGATCTGTGTAGAGTTGTAACTGATGCCAAAGTCTGATCAGGAATATTATGAGCTACTCTCTTTCAAAGATAATTCTAGCAAAGTGATAAAGGATGGTTTCCATTCAGGTCATGACAGATAAGGTCAGTTGAACGTGTGCTGAACTTCTGAGGAAAGAATATGTCTTCCAATACCAAAAAGTGTTATAAATGTTATACGTTTCAGTGCAAGAATTTCTGGAAGCACATACATCAAACTGTGAGCTGTGGTTGTTTCAGACATTTAGACTACACTTCAGCACTATCTGAATTTTTACAATGAACAAGTATGACTTTTATAATTTGAAAACATAAGATAGATGTTTCAACTTGGAATCAAACTAAATAAAAAAGAAAAGAAAAAAAAACAGAAAAGGAACAAATAACTTTCACCAGCAAGATCAGAAGATTCTTGCTTTCCAAAATCATCTACATAAAACAGAAACTGCTGACATGCTCTGCGGAGGGACCAGAGGTTCTGGTAAGACCTGCGTGCCCTGACCATCCCCCAGAATGACCAGTTTCTACAGGTTTGGCTGGGAAACTTAGGTACTCAGCATGATAACAAAACAAGGCCACCACTACTAGCCAGAGGCCATGTGCCCAATCAGATGGAACTTCTGCGAGTGCTTCATAAGATTTGTAATGGCCAGATCAGGAAAGCCCCCTGGGAAAGCATGACAGACCCCATGAGTCATTCCTTGATGCCGCAGTTTGAACTTTACATCAGAATTCACCAGAAAGTAAAACAAAATCTTAGTCCTGCAGGAAAAAGCCGAAGTGATTCAAAATTTCTTAAGTTAGATTCAGAATTTCAGCATAGGATGGGAAAGTGAACTCTGCCATAAAAAGGGATATAAGAAGCAACTTACATGGATAAATACGAAATGGAAATACAGGCTGAGCATCTCTCATCTAAAAATACAAAATCCAAAGTGCTCCATCATCTAAAATGTTTTGAACATCAATTTGACTCTGTGAGTGGCAAATTTGATACCTGACCACATCTGACCATCACAGGTGAAACCCAGGCGCACCTTAGACCAGTGATGACAAACCTTTTAAAGCTTTCAACGTTAACCAACAGCTGGCTGCCGTACGCGTGCTGTATGTTCGCCACCACTGCCTTAGACCATGTGTATAAAAGTGTATTTGAAACATAAATGAACTTCATGTTTAGGCTTGGGTCTCAACCCCAGGATATCTTGTTATGTACATGTGATTAATCCAAAATGTGAAATCTAATATACTTCTGGTCCTCAGTATTTTGAATATGGGATACTAAGCTTGTACTCTTAATATTTTCAAATATCTGAAGGTAGAAGCAAAATGCAAATTTCATTTGCTCATTGTCAACTAATTTTAAAGCACCACAGTTGTCCAATCTTTTGCACATTTTTGAAGCAGTGCTTAGAGCTCAGGAATTACAGCAGTTTTATTTCCCACCTATGGGTTAGGCTGACAAAAATGTTAACATTGCAACCAAATGCATAAGAACTGTGAAGACATATTTCAGCTTCTATTGGGCTTCTATTGAGCATCATCACCTTGAACAAGGACTCCTCCAAAGACTGCCTCACCTTGTTTCTTAGACCAATTCAGTACAATTCTGTCAAGTAACTCAAAGATATTATTTTTGTTTTCAAAGTATGGCAAGATATAACCTTGCCTCTAGGGAAGAGGTTTCTTTTTACCAATATTTCATATTCAAATATATTTAACAAGAAGACTAACTCTAGGGCATGACAAAATATCATAAAATAAAGTTTAGACAAACATTGTAAACAAGAGATCAAGAACTAAAATGTAAACTTAAAAAAAAAAAAGAAAAGAAAAAGGACAATGGTAAGACGTAAACACACCAGATGCGCAAGATATAAGCAAAATGCTCTGGTCCTTGCTACTGCAAACAGAACCGCGCGATGCTTGCAGTAATAACTTCCCTTGCACTGTAAGCAGTTTGCTAATCAAAGCCTGAAAACAAACCCCCCCAAATCATAATGCCCCAAAGGCCTGCAGAGGCACATTCTGTGAAGCATGAGAATCAGACAGTGTGGCCATCACAAACAGCTCTCAGCCTGAGAAGCAATAGCTGGGCTCCTGGCGAAGAGACATTCTAGATAATGACCTCTTTGGCCATGAAGAAAGTTTGTAAGAAAGCTACTGTGGAAAGAAAAAGACTTGAAACATATTGGCTGACAAAAGCTGTGTGGCTCTACAGCCACTGGGTCACAGTGGCAAGAGGAGGAAGTTGCTTGGCCTTGGAGAACCCGTCACGGGTACAGACCTCGATGCCTAGCCGAGCTCTGAAACTACTGTCAGCGACGCCGTCACGTGTGCTACACTTCAAGGACACCGAGTTTGCACCAAATCCTGGGGCCCTTTTCATACAGTTTGGGGGCAGGGCAAGGGGCTTGTGGGAATCAAACTGTTTTGCTTAGAATGTGTTTAACTGATCATATTGTTGGACAGAGGTGAGACTATAAAAAGGGCAGGGTATTTGGCTAACATGCAATCTAATAAACTTCTGGCACAAAAATAACTGAGTTGCTTTCATGATTCAATTATCCATTAAACACATCAGTCAAAAAATAATTAGGGAATAGTATATTAACACTGAAAGTAATCAGTGGTAAAAGAGCTAGGTTCATCTTAACCGGCAGTTAAGCTTTTGGTGTGCTGTACTGCACCTGGTAACTAATCTATGAGATTTTGGTTGAATTTTTCCAAGAAGTCATGGTTTAGCATTGGAGCAGAAAGTATGTGTCTGGGAATGTGTGTGTGTACGTGTGCATGTGTGTGTTCCTCTGGTCAGGAACCTCTGTTCACTTTGTCTAGCGTGGGTTATGGAAACTAGACAAGTAAAATGAGCGCCAAGGAGCTGTGGATCTCACACACATACACAGGCAGCTTGTATCCACCCACACGTCCAAACACACATGCCCTGGGAAAAGGTCATTGTTTGACGCCGAGGAAATGTTCACCGCAGTCTGATAAATGCTGTGGTTGGGAGTTTCAGTAGCACAGTGTCCAGAAACTTGGAGTGGTCTGTGGAGACGAGAGCACAGCTGGCTCCAGGGTGAGGTCCCTACGACAGGTGGGTGCTGTTCCGCAGCCAGTGCAGACCCTGCTGGGAATACTGGACCAGGTGCTCCATGCTGCTGTGCAGGGTAACGGGCCCCATGAGCAAATCCAGGTCGTTGAAGAATTCTAGGGAACAGAGAGAGTCATTAAGAATGCCACACATGCTAGGTGGGCTACTCTGAACTCAGGACTCAAGTGATCTCTTGCGTAAAGCAAGGATTCTGTTCCCTCATGAGATGTTAGCATGCCTTTGAACAAAATAAGATCCAAGGAGAGAGGACTCATCCTGGATCCAAATGAACGAATGAATGAGCAAGCTATGTCTACCATGTCTAACTCAAGTGGATAATTTTTATGTAGCCCAAGAGCATAGGAAATTCATATACTTAGGCTGCATTTCCCTAGCACAGTAATGGTGTCCGCTCTGAAAGTCAGTGCAGGTCTTTCACCTCTCACTCCGGAGTTAACTGTGACAACGCTGAGCCCCTGGAGTGAGTCCAAGGAGTGAGACTGTGAGATGCTGGGAGACAACTGGATGGATTCTGAGAAAACTCTATGGAAGGGGCTGCCGATTAAAAAAAAAAAAAAAAAAAAAAAAAAGGAAAAAGACAAAAAAAAAAAAAAACTCTATGGAAGTCACCAGGTGACCTTTGAGCATTCTCGGGATTTGCCCTTTCCTAAAATATTTGTTATGTACACAGGACTCTGCTAGGTGCAGAGTATCGACAAGGGAGGAAACCTAGAAGTCCCTGTGTGAGCTTTGCTCTCTCTGCATGCTGGTTTAGCAGCGGATAGAGACAGATGTATGCATATAATACTCTGCTGTCATAGCTGTGTCACTAAGTAACGTTCCGTGGAAGTAGTCTCTGAGACCAGTTTTCTTATGGTGTTCACATACACACTGAAGTCCTGTCAGGGAAAGAAGCGGGGTCAGGGAAGATGCACATTGCTAGAAAGAGAATTTGAGGTGCAGAACAGAGGAGGAGAAGCAGGTTGGGCTGAGGGAGCAGAGCTGAGTTTCCACCTGGCTCGGGGCACCCCGCCTTCTATCAGGGCAAACCTAGAGGGCGGTGGCAACTCCACAAGAAGCCTGGCTTGCTTGGGGTCTTGAAAGGTGGACATGTATTTCTACACATTTGCCCACTTGGGACACAGATCTTTGGGCTACTCCAGCCACATAATTGCTAAGTACTTTTCCAAACTCTGTTTCATGCAAGCTCCTGTGTGTCCTGTGTGACATTCCCTCTCAGGGCCACCACCTCTAGGCTGCATGCTTTGCACTGTCTGGTTTTATTGATGATTCCGTACACTAGGGACTGCCCTGTGCCACCACATCCACCTCGCACTGGGGACACCCTACTTTTGTCCTAGAAGGTTTATGGTGTCATAGGAACATAATTTTTATCTATGGCCTGAAAGTGAGCCCAGACTTGCACTCTTTCACCGTGGCTGAAGGGAAAGTCATACATTGGTACAACTGTAGGAGAAAAGGTAACAACAGGTATCAAGATATATATCTAAATAAAATCTACACCTGTGGACCCCAAAAATTCTCTTTATACAACTCATTCCTAAGACAATTAGCAGAATATGGACGAAGACTTATATAAGGATACTTACAGTAGTAGCCATGGTGAAAAAAAAATAGGAAGTAACCTAAATGTCTAGCAGAGGGGGAATAGCTTGAAAAATGATACTTCGTGATTATATAACCATTATATTAAGACAGTATTATAGAACCATTATGAAGAATATTTCTGGACTAGTTAATGACATTAGAAAATGCTTGATAGAATACTAAACACAAAACAGGACATAAAACTATATATACTAGGATCTTAGTTTATTAAAAATGATGCAGATTTGAGGAAGAAAAGCTAGAAGGTTCGGTAGGCTGGCCATGGCTGCTCTGTGTTTGGGTGATAAGATTACTGGTGACTTTTCTCTATATTCTCTGTACTTCACAAATTTAGCCAAGACAAACATGCATTACACTGATTATGAGGAAAGTACTATTTAAAAAGAAACACAGCTTTATCCGTGAAACACTCTTTGCAGTTGTAAGCAGTTGACCCTGACTCCTATCCTTGGATATTTCGGACCCCAACTGTCTTCTTAGCACTTGAGCTAGGTGTTAGGAGTGCAAATTCGAATGAAATAGCAGCTCATCTTCAAGAAGCTCACCGTATGAAGGGGGAAAATGTGTGTACTTCTACACCTGCAACTGCCCTGTACCTCGGTCTATGTTACACCCGCATCTGTACTCACTCCTGCACTTAGCTACACCTGCACTTATATATGGACCTACTCTGTATCTATGCATCCGTTGGTACCCGCATATACCCTAGAACTCTACCTACCCCTGGAACCGCACCCGCGCCCGTGCCTACTCCTGTCTGTACCTGTCACTGTAGCTCTGCCCAGATATCCACCTGTGCCTGTATCTATACTCACTTCTCTACCTCTAACCACACTTGCCACCCATACCTTCACCTATAAATGTCTACCCCACATCTGTCCCTACACCTGTAACTGTCTCTACCCCTATACCTGTGCCTCTCCTGCACTGTCTCTATAGCTAATTTCCCCTCACATGGTCTGCAGTGGAAAGACAGGAGAAGGCACATGAGGCCCTGAGTGACCACCGGAGAGGTCAGGAAAGGACTCACACACAGTGACAGCTCCTTCTCCCTCTCCCCACACAGACCATGGGAACTGGAGTGGAGGTGCCCCCGGGCCAGGCTGTCCCCGAGGCCGGGTGGGCCCCCAGGTCCAGGGGCGGCCACACACCTCTGTTTTCCTTGGCCAGGTTGTCGGCCATCTCCCAGTAGTCGTAGCTGTGCAGGATGCTGTTGGTGATGCTGACGTGGTTGGCCGCCATCTGGTGGATGCGCTGTGGGATGCTGACGATGGTGGATGGGGACAGGGCGTTGGCGCTGGACAGGCTGCCCTGAGACCCCACGGAGCTGGTGGGAGAGGGGTTGGGAGACATGGGGGATGGGGTTCCAGTGCTCCTGGAAGGGGAGAGGCAGAAAAACCAGAGTGGAGAGGTCGGGAGCGGGCAAGGCAGGGCAGCCCCACAGGGCATGGCAAGCGTCATGCATGGAGTGGGGTGGGGAGGCAAACTTACTTTCCACTGGTGCCCCAGGGGGAGGGGGCCTGGGCAGCCTTGGATGAGTTCTGCAGGAAAACAAACACATGCTGTGAGTGCCCTCTGCTTCTAGATGCACAGAAACCAAGGTGGGGGGAACTTAGGGTATCAGGAGGCTATCAGCTTGGCCCCTCAGTGGGCATCTCGGGGCCTGCTTGTGGGTTCTATGTACTCATCTCAGGTATCAAATTAAATTGTAACCCTGAGAGCCTGCTGAATCCTAAACTGGCCTAATTTTAAACTTGTAAAGTAGTGTACTTTTTCTGAAAAGAGGAAAAAAAGGATAAGAATCATCCTTCCCCCTACACACCAAGTATACCTTATATTTAAATTTAGGGGCTATTTGCCAATATGCCTTTATTTAATGCCTGAAAATATATGTCACCAAATTCTATTGTTTTAACTTACGAAGTCTAAAGCATTTATTTCTTTGAAAGGAAACCACTCAAATATTCCTAAAAGGATGAGTTAACATGTATTTGCATAACACACAGGACATTCAGAAATCCTGATTTATTTGGATATTTTGACTTTGGGTGCTATGCCAGATGCTTGCATCAGCATTTACAAGTTTTCCAGGTTGGGATACAGCTCAGTGGCTGAGCACTGGCATGTGCAAGGCCTTGGGTTTGATCCCAGAAGCACCAACCAAACCAAACCAAACCAAACCCAGAAGAAATGTTCAGGAAGTCTACAGGATGGTTAAGGGTCTCTGAAATCTATTGATCTCTGAAATCTATTTGAAAACTCTGAATCTCTGAAAACTATTGATCTTGCTTTTAGGTGCTCAAAATATATAAAGAGAAGGTTCCATGCCAGTGCCCAATATTTGTGACATGTGCTGGCCGATAGGTCATGAAAGCTACTGCTTGGTCCTGGCACCCATCACCCTACAGGCTCACTGGGAAGGAGGCTGCAGGCTGAACATACTCCGGGGCCTCCAACGCAGTTTGGCCTTTGGGAATCCTCTCTAAGATAGGTAGCTTGATGGCTGTGTGTCTAAAAGACAGGTGGTGAAGACAGTGCTGCTGTAATTTCTGGTTTCTGTTGATAAACAGCTAAAGAGATCACGCAATGTCAACAAGTGATTAAACTTCAAGTCCACCTTACAGTAGGACATTGGCGAAGGACTACTTGTTTGTTTATTTTTGCTTTTTAAAATTCTTCCAGGGAAAACAAGTTTGTTCCCTATGATAAATAGAAGCTGCCACGGGTGTGTCGCATCCTTCTAGCTACACACTGTTCTCTGGTGTCTCTGAGCTCTGCTAAAGCCAGTAGGGGTAATGGCTCTTAGCAGGGATTTCTAAGAGAAAGCAGCTCTGTGTGGACATGAGGAAGTTATGTCTTGCTATAAGGTGAATTTCCTTGGATACTGGGAGGAGTAACTATTCTTTCTGAGGAGACCAGAAAAATACTTAGATGAGAAGTTGGGGGGGGGTCATCAATGAGCTGAGCTTTCAGGACCCTTTCTCAGAATCCTGGAAGCCACAGGGGTGCCATGGATGGGGTTGCTCTGGATACCAGAGGTGACCTGTATTAGCTCTAATGGAGCAGGCTCTTCCAGGCTCCCTACAGGTGCCCCTGAGAGGGAGGCAACTCAGGACAAGGAGCTGTGTTGCTGGACAATACCTTGAAATAGTCAATAAGTGCTTTTGAGTACTTTACGGCATGGTCCCTCTTCAGCCGAAACATCCGCCAGTACAGGAGAGCCAGGCATCGGTAACTGCGACAGGAGAAAGGAGGGGCCCTCAGCATGAGTGTGTCCTTCACAAACATGGCTTTAAAACGATGTGTCTAAGTGTTTCTATGTGCATGCAAATCTATGCGCATCTGATCTTCCTTCTGCTCAAAAAAGTATGACTCAAACTTCCAAGGAGGTACTCCAAAGCTCTGTTGACCACTGCATCCTTTATTCCAGCTTTAGCTCTTCTTTGTTGGGAACTGTCTGGCTGTTTTCTTATCCGACCACCAGAGGGCAGTCTACCTCCACAAGAGGCACCAGGAAGCTCTAGCACGCAACTTTCACTGCTCCCTAGGTGAACTACCTGCTTTGGGACAGGAAGTTCCTCCCTCCTATCTACCTAATCTTCCTCGCATTTGACTAGTCTATTAATTTGTTCAAACAAAGTAAGAGATAGTAAGTGTGAATTACAAACAATAAAAACCTTATGCTGGAGTTAGTTTCTACAGCATTTTAATATCCATTTACACATTAGTATTCTATTTAGTATACTGTTCATTCTTAACCATTTTTATTAATTCCAATATGGAACTTCAACAAAGACAAGGGCATTGGCTGTTATTTCCTGAGGTTTACCCGCTCCTCGTCAGCATTATTTACCCATATTGTAATTACTTGCTAATTTAGATCCAGGTTGCCTCCCTAGAATACTAAGGTCACCCTGTGATCCTCCAAACTTCACATGAGGTCATGTGGGAGAGCAACTTGAGACTTCCTTTGGTCTATGTTGTTGTTATGTTTTTTGAGACTCCACTTGCGTCTCTAACTTGCAGATTAGATTGCAGAGTGTAATGAGTCTCCAGAGAGCAAAGAAATCAGGGTCTTGTGATAGCAGGAACCAACAGAGAGTTGTGGGGTGAAATGTCCCAAGGAGATGCCATAGGGAAATTATTCTTATTAAAGCACATACTCTTTATCATTGTAAGTACAAGGAAAATCTATGATACATTCAGTAACATTTTGGGAGAGACGATTTTATCATCAAAGCATAATGAGCTGGTCTCAGTTTAATATATTGAGAACTTTAAGGCATCATCTTTATTCCCTCATATTAATCTGGCATGTAAAGCAACACATAAATTATTTTGACTGCAGTCAGTGTTAAACACAAGAGAAATTCCACTGGGCATAATTCACATTTCAGTGACTATTGCAGGGACTCTCCTGACTTTAAAACACAGGCATGTGTATAGAAAATAAATGATTCTTCTGTAATGGATCTGCAGAATTTCAGTTCATGCAGGGTATAACACCAAGATACTGTCTAGTTAGGCCAGGTGGCATGTGCCTGTAACCCCAGGGAGGCTGAGGCAGGATGATCAAAAGTTTGAGCCCATCCCTGGCAACTTGGTGAAATCTTGTCTCAAAATAAAAAATCAGAAAAGAGGTGGTGATGCCGCTCAGTGTGGAGGCCCTGGCTTCAATCTCCAGTATTGAAAAGTAAAAAAATAAAAATAAAAAATTAAATGGTCTAGACTGTCCTCGGGTGTCAGAATCACATGGGGTCTTGAAAGACAGAAAGTGCTAGAAGAATTGTTAGCACAGGGCTCGTCAGTGGTGACGTGGTGGGGCTGGGCCACCCTCCCAATTTGTGGTGACACACTCACCATAATGCAGCTAGCTGTTTGTCCTCTGGTGTGGCATTGGGGCCTGAATGGGTTTTCAGTCTCATGGCATACCTAAAAATAAATAAAAATAAAAAATAAGAAGCACAGTATTTTTTTTATAAATGCATTCCTGTTAACAACAGAGCCTCGTGTCCTGTGATGGCTCACTCTGGCCAGTACGTAGTTTGTCATGGTGCTGCTGCTCACTCTTTCTTAAAAGCTGGTGGACGTTGCTTCGCTTTCCCCAAGCATTTCAGTGCTGAGAAGGAACAGTGTTTTGCTACTTTCTGCTGTTTGACAGTGTGCGTTCAAATGCTGTGGACAGGCAGCCAAGAAACGGGTAAAAGAACGTTTTGTCTCCACGGTAACATGTCCATTTTCCCAAGTTTTGAGCAATTGACAGATGAAGCCAAAGTCCCATCTTCTGGGGTTTATCTCCAGGAGAATTCTCAGCCCTGTGTTCCAATGGATGCTTTACCCCCGTAATATACCTGCTGCTCCGCGGGCAGGGTAGGTGTTGTTGGGTACATTTCAAAGCTCTGTGCTTCTACAGAGATGTGCAATAGCAAATGAGTGGTTTTTACAGACTGCGCGTATTTGGCTTACTTCTCTGGCCTAGAGGAACTAATGGCCATTGTTTTTTCCTGAAAATGCACCCAGTCACCCGTACAGCCTTTGGAGAGCCAGGGTAGGGTGTGCAATGGCCAGAGGGTCCTAGGGGCGAACCCCAGCTCAGCCACGCACTAGCTGGAAGAGTTTAGATAAAGGTGTGAACATCTCAAAGCCTTTATTTCCTCATCTATGAAACGAGATGGATACAGTGATCACATAATGTTGTTGGGATTTATCCAGATAATTTTGAAAAGCTCTTGATATAGCAGGCTGGCTTGCTGCAAATTGCTCAAGAAACAAAGTGATTGTCATGACATTATCTCCAGCTCACAAGGAGGGCAGCAGTTCACTGTGTGCAAGTTTCTGTTCTTTCCTCTTTTCCTATGCTCCAAGATTGCTTTCTCTGTCATTTTCTTTCTGTTGGCAAAGTTTCTTCCGCCAGCCTTTCAAGTGGGGATGTGTCTATTACCTTTGTCTGAGAACATCTTTATTAAATTGAGAATACACTGCTGCACTGCATTTCCAGCCCTTGAAAAGGTCGCACCAATCACTGGCATCTGCCTCGACGCCCCGCCCACGCCCGACGCCCCGCCCAACCCCATGCCCCGCCTCCGCAGCAGGACGCACACCCTTTCTCTCTGGCTGCTTTGTTTTTCTCTGTCCTTAGTTTCCACAGACGCAACTAAGGCGTGTCTTGCTCTTCATTTCTTTAGGTTCCCCTCTCTGGGTTTCTCTCAGCTTCTCGAATCTGTAGACTTACATCCTTGTATATTTTGGGTAGCTCGACCATCACTTGGAGGCGCACTTCCTCGGTCTGCCGTTCCCTCTCCGTCTTCCCTCCAGCACGATCTCTGTGACGGTACTTGCTGTGGTTTGCATGCGACCCTGGGGTCAAGTGTGGAAAACTTAACTCTCAGAGGAACAGTATTTGGAGGCGCAGCCCCGAGAGTACCTCCTTTGGGAACAGTGGGTCACCGCAGGAGCTGGTCCTGATGGAAGGGGCTGAGACTGAACCCGCCTCCTGGGCTTCCCTTGTACCACACCAGTGCCAGACGCCAGACCCTGTCCTCAACTTCCCAGCCTCCAAACTGCAAGCTGCATGACCTGCTGCTGCTATCAGCAACCCAGTCCCCATGGTGTTTGGTTCAAGCCGAAGAAATTAAAGTGAGGCAGTGCTTGAGGCCTTACTCTTTTTCTAAAAAAGCTTATTTCCGCGGATCAGATAAATTCTACTTCTATCACCTCCCAGGGTTCCGCTGAACCCAGCCAGGGATTGTTGTTTCTATTACTACATTGTTCAGCTCTATCACTTCTGGTTTTTTTTTGAATAAGTTTAATTTATTTGACAAGATAGTCTTTTTGTTTATTGCCATAGAATTGTAAATTTTAAAAAAGCATTTAATGGCGGCTGCTTTAAAATCTTTGCCAGGTAATTGAAAGGGCTGATTCACTTTGGTGTTGGTGTTTGTTCCTTTTGGTGTTGGTGTTTGTTCCTGTCTTTTTTCACTCCAGGTGTGTTCCTGGTTCTTGGTAGGATGAGTGTGTGTGGGGTCTAGTGAAACTTGGATACTTTAGCTGTTAATTTAGTGACTTCTGAGTCCTATTTCAATCTCTATTTTTAGCAGACGGTCACTGTTCAGAGGTAGCCCGCAGGTGGTGGCCTACTTTTGGGCGGTAGTTCTAATTGCAAGTTCATTTTCACCGCTCCTGCTGGCCCCTGCTGGTGTTCCTGAGGTGAGGTGAGGTGGGGGACAGCATCCCCAGGGGTACTTGGGTGGAAGCCACGCCCATTGCCAGCACCCCTTGGTCTTCTGGGATTCCCTGGTGGAGGAAGGGATTCTCTCCTTGTGAGATCCCTGATGCCAATGCTCCTGGTCCCCGGGGGCTCTCTAAGGTTTGGGGAATGTCAGGCTCTGTGATTAAGGTGCAGAGTTACAGGGCAGATTAATTAGCGCTACTTTAAAAAAAATCCGTAAACATGTAACTTTCTTTTCTTACTGACCCTTATACATATTTCTGGAGTGCAGTTTGGTGTTTTTATACTCATACACACTGTATATTGATCAAGTCAGGTCACTCACTTAGCTTCATCTTGCGCGTCTATGGTTCCCTTATGGTGACAGTTCAGAGGCTTCCCTTGCCCCTCTTTTGAAATATGTATGCAGTATCTTATTAACTAAGATACCTCCTGTAACGCTATTTTCTAACACAGGTAAGAAAAGGTCTTTGTGACTCAGTTTTCTGGGTAGCTCAGGGGGAGGCCATTCATTCTGTGTCCTCCACTTGGGGGAGGTTACTTTCCCCTGGGCTCACCTGCACTCCAGTGGGCTTTGCTGGCATCTGGCTTTTTATTTTTTGTTTAGGATTTGTTTGTTCTTTCTGAAGTAGGAACTCCTTGTAAGCAGGCAATACCACTCAGTTCACGGCAGGCCTCTGGCTTGTTTATCCATCCATTCTTCCAATGTTTTGCGAGCACACACTCTATCATTCTCTGTTCTAGGGACTGGGATGCATCAAGACAGCATGAGAGAAAACAACAAAGGCCCCATGCTCGACACAATCACATTCTAGGTTATTGTCCTGCTTTGTGCCCATCCAGATTCACTCAGTTTGTTTCCTGTCTGCCTGGAGGCGACTGAAGCTATGTAAGGGAGATGAGGACCTAGTGTCTCTTCCAGAAATTTTAACTGATTTTTACTCTGTTGCGTTCTTTGCTGCTGAAAATACGGCACCATATGAGAGGATAGTGAGAAGGAATCACCAGCACACTGAGTTAGTAGAAGTATTTTTGATGTGAAAAGTGGCTGCGTAGAATTGACCTTCAAAGTCTCCTTGAGAAGTGTCTCTGATGTGAGGATGAGAGTTGCAAAAGCTTGAACCTATGGTTTCAGGGATGGTGGCAAAAAGTACCACACCTCTTTAGGACAATATGGGCCGCAGAGACCAAGATGTCAGCTCTTCTGTGTGAAATGCTGGGACATTGTAAACAACAACAGCAACACCAAGACAGCTTTAGATTACAAGGGATTGCGGAATTAGAAAAAGCCCTTAAATGTGAGTGTTAGGAAGAATTATTCCACACAGTGGGTATTAGACATTATTCCGTGCAGTGAAACTAGCTAGAAAAGTCAACAGTTTGACAAAGGATCTCAGTAGGGCCAAAGTGAAATTTCCTTGCTGGTTTGCTGGACGGAAATGAAGGCTGTGTCTTTCCAGGTGTCCATCGAGGAAAGGCAGCACCTTTCTCTGAGTATGCCCAGTGCCCTGCTGAAACCCTGGCTCGATGGTACTATGTGTCTCAGCCCATGTGGAGGGGATGGTACTGGTGTCCAGGGTTTAGACCAGAACAGTGGGGCTCCATCCACACCAGCACATCAGAGGGTGGCGCCTCCTTACAAATCCACCTGTGTCTTCTTTCCTTGCATTAAACACCCCGCAGTCACTACTGATGGAGGTAATTTTCCAGTTACCGTGGTTCCTCCATGTCCCAGGATTCGGTCTCCTGAGGATGAGTCATCCACAGCCAACTGTGGACTAAGACCACTAACATTTTTCTTGACTCTTTCAAGAAAGAGACCGTGGATTCACATGCCTTGGTTTTGGTGTGCTATCATAGTTATTTTGCTTTGCTGTTGTTATTCTCTTACTGCAATCACTTGTTTTATTTTTGGGTGGTGCTGAGATCTAACTGAGGTCCTCGGGCATGCTGAGCTTCACCCCCAACCCCTGTGAATTTATAAAGTAAACATTAAGATAGCGATATATATATCCCACACCCAAACAAGACAAAAAAAACCCCAGTGTCTCTAGGGTTTGCTATCTGTGGTTTCAGGCATCTACTGGGGTCTTAGAAAGGAAAAGAGGGAACTACTACACACTAAACTGACCAGACTTTTCTTCTTTCCTTGTCCTTCCCTCCCCTCTACTCTCCTGTCTTCTATTAACCACTGTTTTACTGACTACGTTGAAGAAATCAGCGTTTTTATATTATGCATATGATGTAGTACTTGTCTCTCTGTGCCTGGCTCATTTCATTTTTAAGACCTCCAGTCCCATCCATGTGGCTACAAATGACAAGATTTCCTTTTTTATGGCTGAATAGTATCCCATTGTGTATAATGTACTGGATTTTCTTTATCTATTCATCAGTCAGTGAACGCTCATGTCATTTCCCTTTCTTATTGTGAGCAGCCCCACAGCACATGCCTCTTTGATGTACTGATTTCATTTCCTTTAGAAATCCACCCAGTAGTGAGACTGCTGCATCTGTTTTTCATTTTCTGAGACGCCTCCATAGTTTTTTCCATAGTGGGCGTGCAAATTTGCATTCTTACTAATGATGTACCAATGTTCCCTTTTCTCTTTGCCCGTGCATGGTATTAGTTGCATTTTTACTGGGGTGAGGGGGGCCATCTTGTGCTTCTGATTTGCATTTCTCTGAGGATTAGTAACACTGAACATTTTTGCATATATCTGCTGGTCATTTGTTATCTTCTTTTGAGACATGTCTGTATTAGCACACTTAAAATCAAGTATTTATTTTTTTAGATTTCATTTTGCTATTTCTTTTTTCTTTTGACCAAATAATTTTTTATCTTTTTATTTTATTTTTTTTTAACATCTTAAGAGGTGAAATGAGTTCAAAGCTCACCACCGCCTGGCCGGGGAGTGGCTGTGCCACAGTTTCCTGGCAGTCAGGGGTAAGTCTCACAAAGTGGGAGAAAGCCAGCCGTGAAATCTTCCATGCTTTTTTTCAGGGAATGGACACTGGTTCCCACTGGCTGCTGGCACTGCGACCTTTGCAGTCAGGGTGCTACTGTGAGGCACCCCTGTTCCCAGCAGGAGAGCGCCCCACTTACCTGATGAGCTCCACTGTCTCTGAGTACATGGTGTAAGGAGATTTGGACTCCATCGGCCCCTGCTCCATCGCATTTCCACACTCGATGAACGACAAGGCTGCCTCGGCGTAGTTCAAAGCCTTCCCAAACTTTTCCACCTGGCCAACAGGACGAAGGGTCTTTCTTAGTGACAGGTCTTAGATGGCATCCCCACAGAGTTTACACATTTTATCTGAGAAACCCAACTTTTGAGTTCCCACATCCTGTGAAGGGGGTTGGGAGAAGAAATAGGATACAGTGGTACCCTACGCCCACCCCAACCCCAATCCATAGCTCACTTTCCAGGGATGCAGTTATACATGGTCAGTCATGTCCAAAAATATTACATGGAAAATTCTACAACTTATAAGTTAAAATATCTTTATTATAGCACATTTTCATTGTCCTACTTGATGATTATCATTGATCTCTTACTCTGCTTAATTTATGCATTAACCTTCACTGTCATGCATGTGTACGGGGAAAAAAAAACTTAGGAAGAATTAGGGTTACTGCTTTGCTAGGTCAAGGCCTCTGTTATCATCTTTTACCCTACTGTCATGGTAGAGCTTGAGAATGTCTCCTAAGTCTTATGTGTTCGGGTGATTGGGTCATGGTGGTGCTATAATCATCAGTGGATTGATCCTTTCCCAGATGAATTCCTAGTGCTTACACTGTCAGGAGGTAGGGCCTGGCTGGAAGGGGGGAGTTCGGGGTGTGGCTTTGGAGGGTTCCTCCCCCTTCCTGGCTCCTCCTTCCCTTGCTGCTTCCTGGCTGCCATGAGGTGAGCAGCTCTCCTCTCCTTTCCACCATGAAGTTCTTGCCTTGGTGCTAGTGGACCTTGGGCTGATTTTGCTAAGATCACGAACCCCATTAAACCTCTCCTCCCCTGAGTTGTGGCTGTTGGGCCTTGTGTCCCAGTGGAGGGCAAAGGAGGAAGATAAAAATCAAGGTGCCACTTCAGCTTCACCAGAATGGATCAGAAAGTTGAAAACCAACAGTCAGAAATGAGCTTTTGGATGACCTGCAGTCATTTAAGCATATGTTACTCTTTCCTCATGTCAGCGAGGTTAATTATCAAGCAGCTTCATATTCTTAAGTTTTCATAAATCTAGACTTTCATCCATCAGTTCCCATTCTGCACATTGCTACTCTCAGTTTGGCCTGAGAAAATCCTCCAGTTTTCAAGTGATTCATTTGTCAATAAAAAAACAGAATTCTGCGTATTATTCTAACCCTAGCTATTAAAAAAAAGCCAACAAACTCCCCCCAACTTCATTAGTTGTGCTATGTTAGGAAACAGAGATACAGAGCAAAACTGCTCTTCATTAACTAATCAAATTTTTGAATGATTTATAAATCAAATAGGCTCTAAAGCAGTATTTTGTGCTAATGTTTTCAGATTAAGGAAATCATTTCACTCACTAGGTATTTTCTAAGCACTTAGTGCTGAGGTATGTGTGTTGGATACACAAAAGCTCCTTGCCAGAAACACGCAGTACATTTGGAGAGAGAAAATGTGCATCTACGAAACAGTTCAACCTGCCAAGCAGTTTCTGAGTAGCACATTGTGTAATGTTGGGTACAGTGCAAATGAGATGGGAGGATGGAGGAGGGGATGGGGCTAAGGAGAAGCCCCAGGAAGGAGCCTTAACGTGTAACTGGCTGGGTGTAGGAGGCCGCTGAGAATGCCAGTGTCTGTGAGTGGGGCGGGAAGGTCTGCAGGTGATGGGCCTAGCGGTGGACACAGAGGCCCAGAGGCTGGTAGGAAACTGCCTGGCTGGAGTAGTGCCTCTCTCTTGGGAATCATTTGATAGGAAAGGCATCGTAAACAAGATGATGTTGAATGAATAGGGTCAATACATTTTGGTTATGAATTCAGGCAAAAAAATCTCACTCTGCTGGATTGGGTGTGGTGGTGCAGGCCTGTAATGCTAGCACTCTGGGTGGCTGACACAGGAGAACTGCAAATTTGAGCTCAGCTTAGGCAACTCAGCAAGACCCGGAGTCAAAAAACAACAACAAAAAAAGCTGTCAATGCAGAGAGTCTGGGTTCAATTCCCAATACAACAACAACAACAACAACAAAAATAAAAATTGATGTTTTTCACTAGTAGTGGCCATGCACCAGTTTTCTCAGCTACTCCTACAGGCTCCACGATTGTGTGGGCAAGGGCTGTGGCTTTTTCTCTCCATTTCCTGATATCCTGGGCATCTCCTTTGCATCCCAGTGTCCTTGGTTGTGGGCTCTGTACGAATATATGTTTGATGGGTGACACTGGCATCATTGGGAAAGGAAGACTGCTAGGATTTAAGCATCTTCAATGCTTTCAGAGTAACATTCTGGAAGTCATCAGAGACGCCTTCTTTGCCTCCAGCATCCCGAGTGATCTCAGTTATGAATACTTGGAGGGGAATAAAACTGGATGACTAGGTAGGGTGGAGCCCTTTGGGATGAGACCTTAAGATCCAGCTACCTTATGATCTCTTAAAAACAAAACAAAGCCAAAACAACCTGAAGTTTTCTATTTCTAGTCTGAAAGATCAAGCTTCCCCAAATGGGAGTTATGTTCTGGAAACATCAAATCATGGTGGCTTTACGGTAGTATGTGCAGATAACAGTTTCTATGCTGTACAATTGAAGGAAGGCATTTGTTTTGGCAGACATATATGAAAAACACGGGTGTGTCTGAAAAAAGATTTGATCCTGGTACCAAGCCAACAGTTGGCCAAGCTAGTAAAAGGGCAAAAACACAAATCTAAATTTCTTTTAAAAAGAACAAACAAAACAAAACCCCACTATCACCCACTGACTCTATTGGCTCTAATTATTATTCAAACTTATGACTAAATTGAAATATTCATTTACCCAAGGCTTTCTCCTAGTCAGACATTATTGGTTGAAGTCATAATTTATTGGGCTATGAGCACTTGATTATATAAACATTTCTCCATGTAACAGGCCCAGCCATCCTTGTAATAGGTTTTATAATTACCCCCAGCTATATTGCCCCAATGATGAAGCGGTAGTACAAACATAATTTGGGTGAATGCGTTTGGAAAGAAAAGGGTCTCACCATTGCATCTGCTTTATGCTTCATTCGTTTAGCTTCCTGCATAAAATAATCTGCACTGCGAGGCCTACAAGGAAGAAAATGTTATTAAATGTCATTATCGCTTAAGTACGAGATCTTCGGGAAATATTTTTTCCTTCGCTCAAACATAAAGCACAATTTAAAAACTCCACTTCGTAGAATCAAGTATTTTGTTTTGCCCTTCCAAATTACTGTCTGTGTGTAAAATACTGTGATTATTTTTCTCTTAAGTTAGCAAGTCAAAACCCACTCAATGGATTCAGACACTTAACAGTTACAGCGGCTTTCACATGGTCCCCCAGTGCCTAATTTGTGAGTTGCACTACTTACTGTGTGGTTAAGGAAAAAAAAAAAGGCGAAAAAAATCTTATTTTGCACAATAGTTACACAAAACAATCCTCCTTTAATGTGCAGATTGTAAATAAACTTCGTAGGCATTGCATGATTACGAATGAGTCGGAATATTTATGTAGCCTTGTGAGTATGTCATTTAGATGCACAAATGGTACCTAGAATGGTATGTGTATATATTTAATTATTTTAAAGCCTCACAGTGAAAAATGAAAAAAACTGTAATGCTGTCTGATGATTTTCCAGTTGTAACAGAGTTAACTGCAGAATGATGTCTCCACTGTAACAGTGCAAACGTGGCATGTATTCTCTGGAGCAATGATTAGCTGGCTGCTAAACATTAACAGCAGACATGTGCGTTAGGAAAGCAATAACCCCGGCCAGCACCAATTCTTCTGGGAGATGATGGTAATTCATTCCGAGACTGATCTGAGAGTGTGTAATGACCCCAAGTTACACAGAGTGGTACAGAGCCTTTAAATGCTTAGATTTTTAAAAAATAAACTTTGCATCCTTTCTATGCCATCAGCACAAATTATTTTTTTTTTTTTTACTATAAGTCTTTAAGTAATCAATAAAACTGACCTATTTGTGAACATCACATACAAGCCAGGACTGCTGGAATGGGAGATATGATGTAATATGTCAGTTATTAACTGTTTAGCCTGTGATACGCTTAGCACGAAGCGTCCTATTTTGGGTTCTGATGGGTCTTTGCCTCACTGTAATACTAGTCAAAGCATCCCTTTATCCCAAGAGGTCAAAATACTTAGAGAAACAATGCATACCACAACAATGCACACTGACTGATTAGAACATTCCAATCAATCAGTCAATCAATCAATCAATCAGTCAGTCAACCAATCAATCATTCAAAGTCAGAATCACAGCAAAAAATTGGTTTTGGGTCCAAAGAGTTACTGAAGCAACAAAAGAACCTGGTTTCCTGTCCCTTGTTTCTCTATGTGGAATTGTCAGGACTGCGGGTAGCAAGTTAGCATATCACAGTGACACGATAGCGGCAGAATTTCCTTATGTGTAGCCTCCCTCCCTTGGTTCTCACCCTTTCCTCTTGGTCGGTCTCTCATTGGTGGGGAAGGCTAAAGGGCAACCTTTTTAGGAAAGCCCTGCTCCAATGAGCTCTGCTGTCTGTAGCTTATCTTCCACACACCCACGCCTCCTACACTGAATGGCTTTGTACTTTCCCATACTGACCTTTGCTACACAGTAACTGTTTGGCCTTTGATTTCAGCTCTACCAACTGGTTTGCATTATTGTTGTTGCTTGTTTGTTTTTATTTTCAAATAGCTTCATTTTTCAGAGTGGTTTTTGGTTCATAGAAAGTACAGAGGTCCTCATATATCCTCTCTCCTATATATACAGAGCACCTCCTCATCACCAAATGCCTTGAATGTCTCCTTGTGAACAGTGTCTCTTCTCTTGAAGACCACATCCACCTCCAACATCTGGGCTTTCATCACTTCTCTGGTCCCTGTGCCTGGCATTGGCCCCCTGTGCTTTATTCCCATGCACTGTTTGCCAAATACGACTTTGATTAGCTCACCATCATTTTCAGAGACCTAGAGTAAGTCTCCAGGCTTTTGAGGTCAAATCTCAGCTCAGTTCCAATAACCTGGCCCAGCCCTCTCAACTGTATTACCATGGCCCTCGACCAAAGTCATGCTGGCTTCTTCCCTGCCTGATGCCTTAGCATTTCTGTCTCTAGAGCTCTGCCCAGCCCTCCTCGCTGCTTGGAACACTCTTCTCTCTGCTCATTCCCTGAAGATCCAGTGCCTCTCAGCTGCTACCCTCAGGCCTAACCAGTAACGCTGGTCCAAGTGCATCTGTGTTTTCTGATCTCGCTTGCCCACTTCTTGTTTACACTACACTTCCGGTCTTTCAGTCACCTTCTGAGCTCTATGGTCACTGCATTTTCAGCATGCTGCAGACATCTCTGGTCTTCCCCATCCTGCAGTTTTACTTAGGCACATAACAAAAAGGGAACAAGACCTTCTGGAATAGTGCTGGATTTCTCTGAGCTCAGACAAGGTTGGTCCCTTCTGATGGGGTGCAGCATCACAGCCAATGAGCCACAGAGCATCTCCATGGCAACCCGAAATGCTCCATATCATTATCTGCACCACACTTTAGTGTGCAAGTTTGGTCACTTTCTTCTTGCCCTGTTTTGTCGCCCTTGTCACTAACAGACTGTCATTTCAAACACATTTCGTTTTCATGAAAGGATTCTGTTGGTAAGAAGTGACAGTATCTTAGTTTCTGCCCGCCTTCTGAGCTGCCTTATACACGACGGTAGTCCATAATTCCCACCACGGGCTTTGGAATCAACACTGTTTTCATCTGCAGCATAGAAATGTGTCTTTAAAAGCCTGGTGTGGAGGCTGAGGCACAGACGCACAGCAGTGCATGTGGATAATTTTCTGACTCTCCTGGCAGCTACAACAGTAGCCTGCCACGCTGAAAGAAAAGGGACCACTTACGGGCACATTTCTTAGAAGTCACATTTTGCATGTAATGGGAGGCTTCCTGTACTGAGTGAGCCACAGAAGATGGGCCTGATGATTGGCCCATTTTCTCCCTTCAGGTGATGTCTAGTGCTGGACTCCTAGATGAGACATTATAAAGCCATTGGGACCTGTGCATGCACCTAGATTGTCCCTCACAGCCATGAATACGCAGCAATATGCAGGTCCTCAGGAAAAGCACAGCTGTCACCACAAAGTACTGCACAGCAAAGGTATGAAAGTAAAGTCTGATTATCTCAGCATTCAAACAGATTTTCATCTAATCTTGCATTTTCTTTAATACAGAAAACCAAGTTTTTGTTTTCATCTACGCAATATCTTCACGTTGTTTCTCCCAGTAATGCTAGTTTATGGTGATTCACAGCAAGCCTAATAGAAGTTCGATTAAACATTATAAATGTAACCAACTGTGTATCTCACATTCTTGAGAAATGGGCTAGTATCCCAGAAGCCAGAGCGCAGCCCCATGTATCTTTGTGACAGGAATGCTTGGCCATAAATGTGAACCAAATGCTGATCCAAACATCCTTCTGGAAGTTCTTTCTTCTCCTCAGCTTCCTCCTACCTTGCCTAGAAACACAAGCCCTGGCTTCAAGTAGCAATAGGGTGTCAGCACCCAGGTATTTCTTCAGGCACAGGAGTACTAAAGCAACCTTTGCAGCTGTGGAGCTGAACGGTCTCCCATGGAGAAGCTGGCAGGCCAGCTCCTGGCTGCAGTTCCAGCCTCTGTGAACCGAGGCCCAACTCCGAGCCAGCCTGTTTCTGGCGAACTGGCGGGGAGCAGAGTGCACTGTGTTTGAACAGGCTGGTTCCTCCACGAGGCAGAAATCTGGCAGCTTTCTTAGGGAAACTGAAACCCAAACCAGACAGGGGCTGTGTATTCTAAATGAATGTACCATCAGACCTTGTGTGCATCAGCTTGTTTCCGGGTGAGCCCCAACATATGACTGTGTCCCAGACTGAGCAGCCTTCTCCAAAAGGACAACTTGTGAGAAACTGAAGAATCCTTTTCAATGCAGTGAACTGTCACTTTTATTTTTGTTTTTGCAATGCTAGAGATCGGACCCAGGGCTCGGTGCATGCTGGGCAATCTCTAACCACTGAGCTATATACTCTCAGCTCCAAGAGATCCTTACCGATGGAACATTTAGGAGTCAGGGACCTCAGAGTGCTGCTAACACTGCCCCACAGATGCAAGAAGATTGAGTTTGGTGGTGGTGGGGAATCCTAACACAGATTTTGTTTGCACAATTTTGATGTGGACTGGGCTGAGTCCCTGGAAGCTGCCTTGCTGTTGGAAGTGTGGGCAATGTGTGTTGTTTCTTACATGCTACACTCCTACCGCCCACTGGAAGCCGCCTGTGCTCCCGAGGACACACAGACTAAGCCAGGCAGCTTTTTGTTACTCAATCAGGAGCAGCTTTCTGTTGAAATGGAAAATGACTGATTTCAGTGTTATTCCTTTCTGGGCGTGACGTTTAAAAGGTGTTTAATTATACCAAATCCTAAAAGTGATCAGAGAGCTTGCATTTCCATGAGGGATCTGAATACCTTTGCTCTCCTTGTCCATTGCTGACTCCAAAAGGTGGCTGAAATCTTGGGAAGTGGAGATCCTCTGGAGAAGAAGGCTGTGGTCAGCTGCACAGGAAAGCACCTTGTCTGGCTGTCAAGGCATTCATTCCAGGGTGTCAGCTGGTTTTCTCTGATGAAATCAGGCTGCCAGAGAGCTGACCTTTTACATACAGGAATCTTTGCATCATTTATAAAATTAAAACCCTCTGAGCTCTGAGACTTCTGTGCATAATGACATTACAAATGTCAAGTCCTCATTTGCCCATTACAGGGGCCCACAGCCTTCAGGATGGTCACATGGCCAGGGGGCTTCAGGGGCTGGACCCCTGCTCCTGGTGCCAGGAGACAGATGGGGACGTTGGGTGGTTTGGCTGTACACTGGTTGCTCAGGAAGAGATGGCACATTCTCTGTAGAGCAGTTGGCAGCACTGGCGCTTGGGCTCATGAGCTTCTCCACCCAACCCTGATGCTCAGCCTGATTCAGGCCTCCTGCTCTGAGCCTTCCCAACCCTGGCATCCTCAAGGACTTCCTTGTCACTCATGATGATGCTCGGTGCCTTACAGCACACAGCTTTGCACACGAAGAGAGCAGTTTCTAGGCTTTGGGCAGAATCAAGAGCTGTCACTCATCACTGTAAAGTCCTACAGCTTTTTTTTTCCCAACAAAACTTTGGTAATCACACCACTATCACCTTAATGCTGCGGCTGCTGAGTTGTGAATTTCACACATTTGCTAAATGTCAGGGGAGAAGGTGCATTCAGCTGCCACCAATCTGAGTCCATGGCTTACCGAGAACAAGCTGACCTAGATCCCGTTTTTAAAGTAAGTGTTATTCTGTTCAGTTCCGCCTGCATCCCAAAAGTACAAACAAGTGCCTGCTTAATTGGTAAACAGCATAGAAAAAAGGGGCATGGAAGTCCATGAATTTAAATTTACCTGCATGCAGCTTCATGGAAATAGAAAGAAGAAAAAAAAAAAAATCCCAGTGCTCCCCAGGGAAGGTTATTTATAATTCAGCTGTATTCACTCAGTACTTGTTATTGACGGCCCACTGGGTTCAGCTGCTGTCTGAATTGTGTGTTTATTCAACCATTAACGAGTATTTATAACACACAAAGATGTGCTTACTTTAAAAAAACGCTACATGACGTGGCTTTAAAAACTAAATGGTAGCGTGGCATCTGTTACTCTTTGAATCACTATAACTGGGTTTTGATCAACTCTAAATTACTGGGGCATCAGTGATGGAGTCTTTTCTTTCTTTCCACTTGTCACTTCTCTTTGGTGACTTTAGTACTGTTGACACACTTAATGAAGAGGTGCCGAGAAAAGTGACAGGGGCCAAGAAGCTTTGTGGTCAATGGGGCTGCTGCTGGAGAAATGAAAACTGAAGAGGAGGAAGAGGAGCAGGAGGGGATGGAACTTAGGTTTCCACTCACTGCCTCCTCCCCAAAGAGCTGCGAAGCTTTGCCTTTTAGCCCTCACTCCACAGCTCCGCATCCAGGGAGTCTGGGAGACATTTTTTCACAATTTTAGGCGACTCTGATCACTTGAGGGACATTTATTTTAAAGGAACAGACAATGCTTAGTTTTTCCAGCCTGAAGAATCTTCCCACCAATCTTCTTTTTTATTGTCCACTAAGCTTCTTACTTCCCTGTTTGGCAGGTCCGAGTCGCATGTTTATGTTACTGTTAGGGATCTCAAATCAACTGGGACAAGTGGCAACTGGAAGGCTACATTTCCCTCTCTCCTACGACCCATATATAAAAGCACATTTTGATTTTATTGCATCTATAGCCAGGAAAGGAGAAGTAGTCTTATTGTAGCTGTTAGCCAGAAAAAAAAAAAAAAAAAAAAAAAGAATACGTATTGCTATGAGCACAGCAAATAACAACAGCCTCTTCCCTGACACTGATGTTAAGAAGATTCTATTAGCCTCAGTCCTAGCGAATTGAGAAACAGTTGCTCTTGTAAACCATCCAAGAAACTGACGCTCTGAGTACAATCATTTGGTTGTTGCTACTTGGGACTTAGCTTTCTCATCCATACCTTGGAAAATTCCTTGCATCTTCTTTTTCTACACATGCTGGTTTGCTTGTGTTTTCTCATTTACATACCACGCTCCTAAAAACCACCCACAGGAAACGTTGATATTTTCAGCAACTCTGTGTCCAGTGTTTCTTCTCATGGATTGGGTTATCAGTTTTGACTTCCAAATGCAAATTTCACAGGACTGTCCCTAAAAACGATCCTAATTTTGGCCGACGTCCAGAGGAATAGTTTCTACTGCTGAACCGTGAATAGAAATGCAGTCACCTGAGTGCCCTTTCTTTACGGGCCCTCCCTGGAGGTCGATGACCACTTTCCAGCCTGCTTCTTACATGCAGTGGGAGAGAAGGGCATTAGTTGGGCCGAGTAGGAAATGAGCAAGTGAGGGACCGGGCTGAGACACAGGTGTCCCCCTAAAACATCCTGCGATCACAGGCAGGAACCTCTGGAGGGTGATGGGAGGCTCTCAGCTGACTTGCTATTAGGAGGCGGGGCCTGGTGGGAGGCGTGGTCACTGTGGACGTGGCCTTCAGAGTCCTTTCCCTCCCCAGCTCCTCCCTTCATTCTCTGCTTCTGCTATGCTGCTTGGCATGGATGAGGATGGCTGCCTTCAAGCCTGCATATTCTCCAGATGCCACCTCTCTGAGATGCTGTCTACCTGGACCTTGGGAGCCCCTTGCAAGGGACACATGGCATTATTTCTGCTATTTTCTCTTTTGGTCTGAGAAGGAAGTTGGGACTCTTTCATTTCCTAATTGCAGCTTCTGCTACCTGAGGTAGGAGCGCCTACATTTGCATGTGGCTCCACCTCATGGCTTCATTCTTCCTCTCTCATTCAGATACACACTCCAGGGCTTCCTGTGAACACCCACAGTGGAGGACAGAATTTGACCTGGAAACCCACATTCTGCTTCTGAGCTTGTTCTTGGCACCTGTTTTTCCACCTAGAAGCCTAAATCAGTTTCAGTTCAGCCTCTCAAGGGCATTCCAGGGTGGTTTTCTTATTTCTCTTATTTCTTCTTTTTTGAAACTGATGCTAGAAACTACAATCTGTAAGAGTTTCAGAGCTAGAACCCAATGACGGATAACAGGCTAATGTTTCCCGTATGTGAATCATTTATGCTGTTACAGAGAATGTCACATTGTAGAGGAAAATTCTCAGGAGTAAATAACTATTATTCTTTGCTTTTGTAATTTATAGAAGTGAAAATGCTTTCCTTTCTGGTAGCCTAACACCACCCACAGAACACAAAACATATGCTTAGAATTAGCGTTGTTTGCGTCAGCTTTCTGAAGTTCTAGGGGCAAACCCATTAGCATTGGTGGCTTTTTCTGTTCAAAAAATCCTCAGCAGAATTTAGAGTGCATATAAAGTCAAAGTTCCGTTTGAGAAGGACAATTAAATGATCAAGTCTTGCAAGAGAAAATAGTTATACCATTAGACGTGTCTGACCCATCTCTCTGTGGAATGCCCATTTTTACCTGCCCCTCACCATGTAAAGAAAGAAAGAAAGAAAGAAAGAAAGAAAAAAAAAAAGAAAAAAAGTGTCTAAACTTACATGTCATCGAAGACTAGTTTCTGCCTCTTGCAGTCCCTGTGGCCATTGGAGCCTGGTGACCAGGGCTCTGTTTGTGGCCGTGACTTGCCGTGGAGAACACCATTTTCAGAATTGTTGTGAGCTGTTTTCTAAACAACGAAAATACAGAAGCCTTTGAAACACCAGCCCCCCAGCTAGAACAGCAGCCCACTCACTAGAACTGCTTCTGTTCATACACTACCTCTGTATTCTATAGACCTAATGGTGACTTTTATCTCAGTAAGTTAAAAGATACACAAAGACATACAATTGAATGTCCCTTATCTGAAGTGCTGGGGACCAGAAGTGTTTGGATTTGAGATTTTTATTCCTTCCAGATTTTGGTACCTCAGGGTGGTGCATCAGATCATGAATGTTTTGGTTTGCAAACAATGTGGTTCACAAACAGAAGCACTTGGCAAAACAGTGTGTCTGTCTGCAGACTCTCTGCATGTGGTGACACATGTGAGAGCAGTCATTTCTTCCACTCAAGCACACATGTGGCCATCTTTTCCAAAATCATTGAACAAATTAAGTTCATGATCCCAGGCAATACTGTATTTGCATATGCAAAATGAGATACCTTGGGAATGGGTCCCAAACCAAACACCAAATTCATCTATGTTTTCTGTATACCTTATGTACACAGCCTGAGACAATGTTCTACAACAGTTGTGACAATTCTGTGCATTTTGACTGTGACTTGTCACACAGTCAGCTGTAGAATTTTCTGCCTGAATTGATCATGTGGGTGCTGAACAAGTGTTGAATTTTTGAGCATTCTAGATTAGAGATGCTCAAATTGTACACGCATTCTAGGTCTGAGAACATCTGTTATCCCATATCATTTACACATAAATATCAAAAAGAAGTCTTGTGCTTATTTTGATAGATGGGGAAACTTGAGATTAACCTCCTCAGGTTTCAAGAGCCACTATCTGCTTTTCTCAGACTGCTAGGTCAATGTTCAGTCGAGTTAAGCACATGTCAGGATGACCTGGAAGAAATCACAGACTTCCGGGTTCATCCTAAGATATTCTGATGTGTAATAGGGCTGAGGTGGGGTCTGAGAATCTATTTTTCTACCAAGTTCCCAAGTGGCACTGATGCTGCTGGCCCAGGAAACAAGCATTGCTGCAACTGTCTCTCATGGAGAAAAGTCATTCAGGACACAAAGGCATGAGGTCTCAGGCGCTGTCCGTGAATAACAGAAGCAGCCAAAGAGAGTCATTAGGAATTAATCAGAATGCAAATATGTGCACAGCACCTACTAAGTGTGAACATCCAGATTATCAAATGATTGTCTTTGGTTATGAAATTGCTTCCACTGAGTGTATGCAAATGTTTCTTTAAATATAGGCCTGTGTCGTGATTAAGAGTTCTATTGTGATATATGACCAGGAAAACCAGATGCTGAATTTCTGAGATGGTTCTTAAATGCCTTCAGTAGTGCCCACTTGGTAAAAGGACAAATACCAGCAAAGTGGCCTTTGTAACCTGCAAGGCTGGCCCTGACCTGCTGCCCAGCCATGCTGCTCTGTGTTCTTCATTCCTCAGACCCGTGGCCAATTTTTACTTCTTCCCCAGAGCCTTTGCATGTACTGTTTCTGCAGCCAGCAATGCTCTTCACCTTGTGCTGTGCTTCTATTGCCTTTCAGGGAACCGACATCCATGGGTCAACATCCCAGGGTCTGTGAACTGAATCTGGACTTCTTTGTTAATAAAGATTTATTGGAAACCAGTCATGCTTGTTTACCTGTCACTGATGACACTATGTTTGCTTTATCATGATGGAGCTAAGTAGCTATGACAGCCTTGCCCACATGGCCGGTGTTTAGCCTTATCTTACAGCAGTAGTACTCAACCGGGGGGCAGTTTGACAATATCTAGAAATATCCTAGGTCATTACCACTGGGAAGGCCCGGGATGCAGTCAGGTGACCCGCAGTGCACAGAACAGTGAGTTACCCCACCCAGAACGTCCACAGTGTTGAGAAATCCTGCTTTGCGGAAATAAATTTGCTGCTCCTGGCACCAGAAGAAGCCTCTTTGTTATAAAAACTCCTAATTCTCTGTTTCCTTTTTAGCTGTGATGATGGGCATTAATTACTTTGAGCTTTCCTGATGCTCCAGCTCCGGCTCTCTCCCCATTAGACTGTGAGCTTCCTACGGCACCGACAGAAGCTGGTGGACCATCATTTTATGCCCGGTACTCAACAAAGAGCCTAGCACATAAATACTTGCTCAGTAAGCAGCCGTTTGGTGAATGAATTACTAAGACAGATCTGTAAGTTGTAATTCTTTCCACACCATAGTTGTTTGTGATACAAGGTATCTAGAGGCAAAGAAAAATTTTGTTACACTGGTTGAGGTGGTGTGTGCCTATAATCTCAGCACTCAGGAGGCTGAGGCAGAAGGATCACCATGAGTTCAAGGCCAGCTGGGGCTACATATCGAGTTCAAGGCCATTAGGAACTATGTAAGGGAGACCCTGTCTCAAACTCCTCCACCCCAAGTTTTGTTTTATACATGTGGGCAGTTTTTTTAATTTTACATGTTTGTAACAAAGCTTTTCTAGATTCTTTCAGCCTAGAATTACAGGCCTGTGAATTCAGCCTGTGAATGAGGGTGCAGAGGCCTGGCTGGGAAGTGTTAAGATTTAGAGTTTCGTGTGACCTTTTGCCAACAGTCTTGCATCTTTAATTCATGGGCCAAAGCATTAATTACCATGTCCCTCCTGTGTCTTTCTCTGTTCAGCCCTGTCCTCCATGGTTACCTCTCTCTGCCAGCCTCACAAAGCCCAGCTGGGTCTGATGGGCACTGTGACTTGGCAGAACTCAGAGGGTGTCTGGGTTCCAAGGATGCCTCTGAGGGGCTGTGTGGTCCAGGGCCACCAAGGGAACCCATGAGTCACAATGGCTGCAGAGATCTGCAGAGGGGCTGGGTCTCTAGAGAATGCTGCCCTTTCGTCTCATCACTGCCACTCTGTTGATGAAGACACAGGCTCAGAGATGACAAGAGGCACAAAATCACACTGCAGCCAGGATGGCAGGCCCAACAGCAAACCCAGACCAGCTATGATGCCTGCTCCTCCCCGGGGAGCACTGTAACTGCCCCTGAGATCGCTAGAAAGGAAGTGGCATAGGGATCCCTCATTGGGGCAGAGGGGGAGCCCCACGTGTTTGGGGTAGGTTTCAGTCCCAGACTTAACTGTCATAGAATAAGGGATTTTCCCATTATAGGAGTTGGTTGGTAGCTTTCCCCTGGGCTGGCACTATTTTGGCTCTGAAATCTTGCTAGCAGGCCTGAAATTCTCCCATGGGTGGGTCCTTTCTTCCTCTCTGTTGGGGAGGCCAAGGGATCCTCTCCTCTACCAGACAACCACCCCCACCCCAGAGCTGCCTGCGGGGGTTCCCTGCAGCTCCTCTGGCTGATTTTGGACTGCATCGGTAGAGAGGGAAGTGGGGATTATGATTTATTTTGATTCTACTTGGGGAAGGAAGAGAGCCAACGAACCAAGAGGTCTCCGGCATGTGACTGTAGCTGGCTGTCGGCCTTCGGCTTTTTGCTGGAAGAAGTGAACACACCATTGCCATGAGGTCGGCTGGAAGAGGTCAAGTCCTCGCTGGCGTATTTGTGTTTGGACGCATCAGAGAGGGGAGAGATGGGTGACCGGAGCATTTTTTCATTTTTATTTACTGGTATTGCCAAGCTGAGAAAAAAGAAAAGTATTGGAATATCACGGAGTTGGCAAAGGGAAAGGTAAACGTTTTATACAGAACCCCAACTTCCATTTAAGACCTGCTGGTAGGAAGAACTTATTGGGAATTATTATTTAGAACAACTTAACAGCATCAGGACCACAAGAAACATAAACAAACCTCATTCTTTGTTTACTCTTTCTTTCATGCTGATCAGTAATTCTGGAGTTAGTGCCAAAAGAAATGACTCAGAAAATATAATCCGTTCATGTTCAGGCTTTTCATCCAAGGATCTCAAAATCACAAACACATTTCTTTTCCTAACAAGCATAAGCAGCAAGTAATGGGAAATTCAAAACAACAGTGATAAATGAATTCTCCAGTTTCCAAAGGACTTTTGCCAATGTTTGAACTTATCCTAATTGTTACAGAGACAATAACAGAATCACAGGATAACCCGAGAAGTATGTCGCCAACTGTCAATGGTTGGGTTTCTGAGGTAGCGAGGCACTGATCAGATTAAACACAGAATACAGAAACTGTTAGAAATGCTGAGGACTGATTCCTAGCTTCTTATTTTACCTTCATGACTGTCTATTCACGAAGGCGATGTTCTCCGAAATCAGTCATCAGCGATGATGGATTCTCTTATGTCTAAGTCTCTGCCATGAATATTTGATTGTTAAGTTTTGCTCGATTACTTTGAGAGGAAAAATAAGCAGTGTCTGGGGGCAGACACATTAGTCTGAAGTAAGCTCAATTACTGCTAACTTAAGATGTTCCTTGAGGTCACCTGATACAGTCAGTTTACAAAGAGAGGTAAATCCACGTAGCCAAGATTTAACTATTATTCCTAGGGTTATGATCTCTTAATTACAGGTGTTGGTTATCACTGCAAACAAGCCATTAAAATCGCTTCAAAAAGCAATTTCTTTAGCTGGTGGTCACAGTGGAGAAATTACAAACACAGACCTCTAGAACAAATGACAAAGCCAAGATTTTTAATGTGATGCAAATGGATACATGTGGAGATGGGGCTTCTGGTTCCAAGAGCGCTGTGTCTGACAACTTGGAAAAATGCAAGGAAAGATGCCACAAAAACCGCTTTGCATGAATCCAAAGTAGCTCATCTTCTGATGGTAAGGACACTGATCCTGCAGGCAGATATATGAACAGGCCGACCCTGTTTCTTAAAATGTGACTGAAAAAAAAGACTCTCTTCCAAGCGTCTGTTATTTTACATGATTCATGGCTTTTACTGTGCATGGAAAACCAAAGATGACACTGAAAACTGTCACAAATGTACAATTGTGCTTTCCACAGCACTGCAAGTTTACGTATTCATCCTGACCAAGGAAACCTGATCTGACAGGTCATTGCTTTATCTCTGGGGCTGTGTTGTTACCCTGGTAAACCTGCCAGTAGCACTCACAATTCAGAGGAAAGAGGTGCAGTTCCCAGAGACAACTCGGACACATTTTTTCACACACAGTTTGATCACACAGCATTGGTGAAACGATCAGAGTTGGGAGACTCTGCCAGGACAAGTGTCTTTCATCTGAGGTCCCTGGATTTGGGTGACAGGAAGTGACCTCCTTGTTTTCTCTCTAAAGAATTTCCATTGATTATAATGGAGGCTCAAGAAACCAGAAGGGTTCCGTTGGGACCCTGCTGGTAAGGCCTGTGATTACGTCTCCCGTGGATACTGGAGATATTTTCGTGTCCTGTGCCAGCTGTTCCAGACATTTCAAAATAGGGTTTACCTCGGCTGCTACTTAGCAATGCTAGGCATCGATAGATTGGCTGGAGGGATTAGGGAATGCATTAACAAAGCAGCACATGCATAACATTCAAAACAATTTAGGGGACGCGGTGTCCCCTTTCACATTTTGCCTGTAACTGGGGACACTGCTTTTTCTCGCTGGTGGGACTGCCTGCAAGAGTGACTGTCCCTCCTGGGCCACCCTTCTGTGTCCTTGGCTCCTTCCCAAGGTGATCCTGGGGCATTTGGGGGTCTAAGCGCCCGCGCCCTTGTGCTCCAATTTCCTCTCTGACTTTTAGTACCGCTCTCCATCTTTCCCTAACCTTTCCGTTTACATTTTTATGTATTGTGCAGAAGCATTAATCTTCCCCTAAAAACCCTGTGTGTACAGTCGGGGGAGTGAGCAGTGTCACACCGGAGGAAGAGTGGCTCCTGCGTGGAGCTGTTTCTAAATGGAAAGAGCCTCGGTGACTGATGAGAAGCTGCTCACTCACAATGAATTCCTGGGACCTCGCCCGGGTGCAGAGCCATTCATCACAGCGGGTTTGGTCCATGGCAGCGGCTCCCCGGTCCTCCTCCTTCAGAGGAGGGACTGGGGTGGCTCTTTGACTTTGGGAACACAAGATCTTTCCTAACTGCACCATTTTCCTTTGCATCACGAGTTACAGGTGCATCGCCTGGAGACTCCAGCCACGATGTGCCTTTTTGCATCGTAGTGAGCTTAACGTTCTCAGGGGTTAGCAGCTGCCTTCATGACACTGGCTTGAAGATCTGATTATTAAGTGTTTATTTGAGAAAGTGTGTGTGTGTGGGGGGGAGTGCAGAACTGTGTGTCCCTCCAAACTGGAATTTGGTGACAGAGACGTGGCCTCACAAGGCTGTGGCAAAGCCATCATGAGAAGCCTCAGGGAAACAAAGTCTGTAAGCAAAGAATTGGACTGGAAAAGTCTCCAAAGCACTGGACTCTGCCCCAATATGTCATAGGGCTTGCAGTCCCAGGGTATCTCGTGCCCTCTCATCACTCAGGGGACGTGCCTACCTGCTGACGTTCACGTTGCAGTGGTTGGTGGACGAGGTATGGTTGGTGGAGGTGGCCAGTCTCGAAGAGCTTTCTTTCTCTCCCTGGGCCTTCTTTATCTCCCGGTAGTCGTCCTCGGTGTCACACTGTGTGGGGATGAACACAAAAGACAGTCAGCTCTCAATTTCCAGGATTGCCATGAGCTACGGGATTCTGCCCTCCAGAACCAGGTCTCCCTGCTGTGCCCCCGGAGTGGGAGGCCAATGAGCTTATCTGTGAATGAGGAGGAAATCAGTGGGGTTTGCAGTCCATAGCTTAATGTGAAAAAGAGATGACGCCCTGACAGAGACCCAGGAGGGACATTTGAACAAGGAAGCTGCTTAGGAGCTGCCCTTAGAGCAGACCTGTTGTAGTCCACAAGGGAGCCCCAGTGTCACTGCTCCAGCCATGGCCCGGCACTGCACTGAGGTGCAAAAAGCACTCATGGTCTGGGCAAGGCTGGGTCTTTCTGCTTTGACAGCTGTGCCTTTTGGGAATGGAATGCAGAGGTCATGTCTTATTTTTGTTCAGAATTCCCAGCCCCTGACAGAATTGCTAAGGTACCTAATTATAAGACAGATCTTGGATGGAACTTTTGTTCATCTGTTTGGTCTGGGTATGGAACAAATCTGAGCTACATCGTCAGCCTTTCATTTTGTTGTTTTTTAAATTTTAAGATAGAATCTTGCAAAGATGCTGGGCTTGAACTGAGGTGATCTTCTTGCATCCTAGATCACTGGCATGACAGACATGCAGTACCTCTTTTTCTTTCTAGCAGGGACCATGTCACAAAGCCGATGCCATACGGTGTCCTGAGTGCTCACATTGTCATAGTGGCCCCAGGAAGGGCCCATTCCAATCCTCCCAGTCCTTGGGCTGGAGCCTCAAGGACTCCAGCAAGGTGAGATTTTGGTACTTAAGTGTGCTAAGACAATGTCCTTTCTTCCTCTTCCGTCTGTGGTCTCACCAGGTCTCAGGAGTTGAGCCAGTGTCAGGCTTAGTGTAGTTGTTTGTGTTAGAAAAGGCCAGGAATGATACAATTCTTTAAATCAGAGCATTAGGACTTTATTTGTATGTTACTCTGCAGTTTCTGTCTTGTACACCTACTGTACAGAAGTCTTTTCCTATAATCATTTATACTTTAGACTTCTCAAAGTGATTTTGGCCAGGAGAAGATGGTAAACCTTACTTTCCAGTCTTCCTTAAACAAGAATTTGAGACAGCTGAGGTCTTACTGCAGGACTCTGGGGTCAGACAGCTGCCTATGTTCCTTCCTGTTCCACCTCTCCAATGATATAACTTGGACAAGTCCTTCCAGCTTCAAAATGTTGTTTTTTTTAACTGTGATGCTTGAAGCTGGTATGAACATTTAAAAAGTTCACGGCCAGTTCTGTCAAATAAAAGCATGACTGTGTGTCCTGAGCCAACTTTTTCGCTGGTTCTGGCACTATGTGACTTCTGGCTCATCCACCAACTCAAAATGACCTTGAAAGGTAAATATTTTGCATCAGTTGAGGACTTCAAGGCAGCCAGGACAGTTCAACTAAAGACACTTAGGAAATAGCACTTCTAGAATGGTCTCAGAAAGTGTTGAGATGATGGGAGAAGTGTTTTCAAATCCAGGGGAAGAGCCTGAGGAGGGCTAACGACCATGCACCTTTTACTCTAATCACTTTATACAACTGATTGTACCTTGCATATGCACATTCACTGCTGCTGGTGATGACTCTGGCCTAAATTTGGAACCACTCATAAATACTGCAGTCTTTGGTTTGCTACTTACTGTGGTCCAGGTCACTTTTGGAGATGCAGTGGCAGGAGGAGAGAAAAGTCCTTGGAACCAGCTTTCTGGTATTCCCTGCAGCCCTGGCTCAGGGTCACACACAGGTGGCCAGAGGCTCCCCTGGCATGTAACCTGCCTTCCCCACTCTGACCCCACCGGTTCAACCTTCTGTGCTCTCCTGGTACCACTTCATCCTGGGGCTGCTGCTGCTTCAAAAATCCCTTATCCCAGAACCCTGTTCCCAGCCCTCTCCACCTCGAAGTATTCCCTGATCCCCGTGAGGATGAGGGGATCCTCATGGCCACACACTGTGCTGAACTCAGGGTCACTCGTGCTCAGCTCCCACCAACCTGCCTGAAACTCCACCAGGGCATGGCTCCTCAGGTGGCCAAGCAATTCCACCATCAATGCCACCCCAACCCTCCTACTGCATGTTCAGTGCTCTCACTGCTCAGCTTGTTCCTGTACACAATAAATACTCCCCGTGTGGATGACCTTTCAAGCAGTGGGCGAGGGCTCAATTATAAAATTGGGATGGAGTATTACTCTGCCACGAAGGAAGACAGATTGCAGGAAAATGACTGCACCTTGAGACCACAACCGAGCTTCATAGCTTTTCTTACATGAGAAGCCCAAAGTATAAATAATTGCAGGAAACAAAAGATAGGCAGCAGGAAACAGGGAGATAATTTGAAAATGAGAGGGGATGGAGATGACAGGGAAAAGATGGAAGAGTAATAGAATTAAAATGTGTTCAGTACACATACCTAACCTTAAAATGAATATATAAATATATACACATACGTATACACAGGCACTTAAGTGGGGGACTCTTTGAGACAAGGTCTCACTATATACAGTAATTCAGGCTGGCCTTGAACTAGCAGCAATCGTCTTCCTCAGCCTGTTGAGTGCTGGGATGACAGGTTCACTCCCGGGCCACCCTCAGTCCTGACCTGCCCTGTGCTCCACCCCTGCCCATGGGAGAAGCGGTGCCCTCTCTCCTGGCTCGGGCCCCTACCTTGCGTTTCCTCTTGGACTTGGGCAGCGCCTTCTCCGGGGTGGTGTCCAGCGCGTGGCCAGCCGGTGGCCCCTCAGGATCCTTGACGGCCGGGACGCTCTGGACCCCGGGCTCCGGGGGCAGGTGCTCCGGAATCCTGGTCAGCAGGGTCAGGTCTATTTTGACCCAGAGGGCGCGGACCTCGTCGCTGTCCTTCAGCGGGGACAGGAGTTCGTTGCGGCCGAAGGGCACCAGCGTGTAGAACTGCTCCTCCAGCTCCTTAGCCAGGTCGCTGCTGGTCCTGGCGTTGATGGAGCCCACGGCGGCGGCGCGCGCGCCCGGGCCTGCGCCCCCGGGGCCGCCGCTGCCGCTGCCACCGCTGCCCGCGGCCTCCTTGGGCCGCTGCTGCTGCTCCGGCCCGGGCCCCGCGGGGGCGGCGGGGGGCGCGGCGGGCGGCGCCTTGGGCGGCGGGAACTCGTCCTGTTCCGACTCCAGGTCCGACTCGGAGGACGACGACGACGACGACGACTCGGTGTCGATGAACTCCCTGGACTTGGGCACGGTCCTGCCAGGGCCCCGCGTGCGCCGCTTGTCACAGGGGGCGGCGGCGCGCAGCTCCTTGCGGTGACCGGTCCGACCCGCGCCGCAGGGCCGCGCCTTGGGGGGCTCGGGGGCGCCCGGGCCCAGCGCGTCGGCCTCCTCGGCCCGGTGGCACGCGGTGGCGGTGGCGGCGGCGGATGCGGCGGCGGCGGCGGTGGTGCTGGCGTCGCCGGCCGCGCTCCGCTCCGCGCGCCGCGTGGGCTTCTTGGCCCCGGACCTGCGCGTGGGCGCGGGCGCGCTCTCGGCGGGGACCCCGGGCGGCGCGGGCGGCGGGGGCGCGGCGGGGGCCAGGGCCGCGGGCGGCGACTTCTGCTTGGCCGCCTTGCTGCCCGGGGCCTTGTTGGCTGTCCGTGGCCTCTGCTCCTCCCTGCAGGCGCCCTTGCCGTCCTTGTCCCGCAGCGCGGCCGGGCAGGCGTCCGGCAGCTTCCCGCAGTCCTGCGCGTCCTCCTTGCCTGCTGCCGCCGGGTAGTACTGTGCGCCCTCGGGCCCCTGGCCCTCACTCTGGGTCAACAGAGGAGGCTTGTGCGGGTTGACTTTGTTGAGCCATTTATCCAGCTGCCACTTGTTGGAGGATGCTGGTTCAGCCTGGAAGCAGAGAACCCGAGAAACCAGACAGCTTTTACTACACTTGCCCGGAGCGCTCGGCGAGGTTGGGGTGTGCGCTGTAGCCCCTACTGCCCCTGGCACCTGATGCTCCACCGGAAGTGCCAAGTCCCCCCCAGAAGACGAGGGCCTGGCACTGGGCTCCCTATGGTAGATTCCCGGCACTTTCAGGTATGTGCATATATGTATAATTACACACGTGTGCATACATTTGAGACTCCATGTTGTTTAGGGAATAATTCACCTTCAAGTGCCCCTCCCCTTTGGATGAGACTTAATACTTCGGGAGAAACCTGAGAACCTACAATCCCAAAGAATTAACACATAATTTGTGTGGTGATGGCGAGCTAGGTGCAGTTATTTAACAGCAGAATCCATACTTTGGCTAGCTTAGCCCCAGAGGACTCCTCTTTCACAGGGGTGTGTGTATGCATGTTTGCGTGTCCTGTGCACTCTGGCAGGCCCACTTGGTTCCACCATCTGGCACCAGCTTCTGTGGCATGCAACCAAAAATGCTGAGACACAGAGGTGATGGTGGGACCCCTCTGGGAAGCAGTGTCAGTAACTGGATGTCCTGGGGCTTAAGCTCTGGCAGAAGATGAGCCAGAGAGAGTGGTGCCAGTGAACACCTGGAAAAGGGACAGGAAATGTGGTATCGATGCGTCCAGCCCACCTTGTGAGAGCCATAGTTCTGAGTTGAGTTTTTGAAGATTTATGTTCCATAAAGCTTGAAAACCAAGACTCCTAATAAAAGTCAGTTTTCACAACATAAGGATTATTAGTTAGCTGATAACTGGATTGAGAAGTCTAGAACTTTTAGCCAAGGTGCCTGCATTTTGTCAGTCGATGTGAGATGGAAGAAACATTCAGAGAGAAGGAGGGGTGTATTTTTCCTTTCCCATGCCTCTCGTCTCCCCCAAGTTTATGCAGACAGCTGTGGGTCCTGGCTGAGCCTGCAGGAGTCATGGGCTTAGCTCAGGGAAATGGGGAGACCCTGATGGGCTGAGGGGAGGAATGGGAGCCAGCAGGAACTGGCCACATGGGGTGTGGGGACGAGCACTCTGAGCTGAGGTAGGGGCCATGGACATCTATGCAGTCACTCATAATGAGACTGACCACACTTGAGGGAGGACCAGCACAGGGTGCCCACTGACTTGCAGGGGGCAAGAAAAGCTCAGCGGAGGCCAGAAAGAGGATGTAAGGTTTGGTCTCTTGATGTGACGTTTTGCTTTGCTTTCATGTCATCAAAATCCAGAACAAGATGAAAAGGAACAAAAAGATGCACTGCTAAGGTTTCCCTTATTCAGAATGCTTATTAGAATGAAAATAGTTTTGGATTTTAAAAAATGTTGGAATATTTGCATATATATAGAGATAACAGGAATGGGGCCAAAGTCTACCCACAAATTCATTTGTTTCATTCATTCTTACAACCTCACCGGAAAGTAATTTTATACACTGTTTATAAGGATTTTATGTGTGAATCAAGGCCTCACAGTGTGTAATTTTCCATTTGTGGCCTCATTATCAGTGCTGAAAAAGTTTTGGATTCTGGAGAACTTCAGATTTCAGGGTTTAGGATTCGGAGGCTGAGCCTGCAACACTTACAACTTTGAGCTGCTGTGCAAATTCTTACTTTATTTTGGTTTCTCCAGAGAAAGGCATTGCATCAGAGTAAGCAGGACAGCGACACAGACAGTGCCAAAGGGGGTGCCCTCTTCATGCCTGAGATTAGCTGCAAGTGACAGAAAGCTAATTTGATGGCTTCTAAATTAGTGTCACCTGCCTCCATGTTTCCCAGGTGTGACCATGGGGGATCAAGACCTTCTGTTCTGCCTCAGCATCCCCAGATAAGTGGGACCCAGTGCTAACTGAAGCAGAAAGGGCCTTGTGCAGAAAGGTGCACATATCAGAGGGCTTGATGCCTGGGGCACAGCCCAGCACTGAGCCGCCTGCTGCTCCTTCTCCCTCCCTCTAGAGCCCGCTATGGCTCATATCTTTCATGGCAGAGAAGGAGGAAGACAGTATGGAGCCCAACACAGCCACATGTGGGTCACATGGCAGCTTCTGAGTGGGAGCATTATTGGTGAAGAGAAGAATTTAATACGTTTAGTATGGTCTGGTTGCCTGATGTGCTTTAGGGTGATTTTCTCCTGTACTTCACAGCTGCACAAATCAGTCTGAAGTACCATTTTCAACATGGCACTAAATCACACTCCCTTTCCCAAGGATCTACAATAACCTCCTATTACCTCACCAATGAAACCTAAATTTCCCCTGCTGACACTCAAGGGCCATCATCTGGTGATCATTTTTCATTGCTGGGACACCTGTAATATGCCTCCCTCCTTACACATTATTAGTTATTATCTACTTGAATCTTTACAGATAAGAAATATCATCTTCCCTGAATTGTAGATGAGGGTCACAGAGGTTAAGAGACATATCCAAAGTTGCAATTCTTCTAGGTGCCATGAAAACTAACCTGTGCTTACTTAGACATAGAGACCAGTTTCTGGGCACTGATGCCCCCGGTGATGGTTAATCTTCACTGTCACCTTGACTAGCTCGGGAGATGTCCATGAGAGCACTAAAGCATGCTGGTAGGTGTGTTTGGGTGGGTCACGGAGGTGTGGTCTTGGGATCATATCTGGTTCCTGATCCCTTCCTTTCTGTCTCTTCTTTGCTCTCTGATTCATGGATGTCATCAGGTGAAGCAGATTTGCTCCACCATGTTGTTTCTGCCTTGGAGCCCAGCTAACCGTGAACTGAAACCTCTCAAATCCTGAGCCAATAAACTTCTCTTCTTTAAGTTGTGGGTGTCAGCTAGCATGTACCACTGACAAAAACCCAACACAGGAAAATGGTACTAGAGATATGAAGTTGTTGTTGTAAGTGTGCCTGACCTTGTGGTTTGGGACTGGTTTATGAGAAGAGTTTGGAAAGGTTTGGAGATGTGAGCTAGAGAAGCCCTGGAATGATGGAAGAAGTCTGATGGATGGTTTTGGTTGGAGACCAGGATGCTGATAGGAATACGGACAGTAAAGGCCAGGTTGGGAAGTTTCAGATAGAATAAAGACTATTAGAGAGAGTAAACTAGAAGCCTCATGTATTTCATTCTGGCAAAGAATTTGTCTTATGTTTTTTGCCCATGCTTGTGTGAGGTTAATATATTATCCTGGCTCCTGCTACTTTCTGATGTAGCCTTGGGAAAAGAGGAGCCATTCCTCTGAGATATGCTTGCCTTCAAACTCAAGTGATAGCCTGAGAGACTTGATTTTTGAGTCCTTCAAACATTACCCATTGCCTTCTACTATACTGAATAGTAGAATCTTCCGATGTTCAAGTTCATCTCATGTGCATAGTCTTTAACAAAGCCCAGCTCTTTCTTCAGGACAAGGCTCTGTTTCTTGTGCACCCTTCAGAGAATCTGCACTTGGCTAGGAGGCTATAATGAGTGAGCTGTCACTGTTCCCCACAACCATCACACAGATCAGGCAGGGAAACACTAGCTGCCATTCTGGGGAGAAGACAGTTATGGCCAAGGAGGCTGAAATGATAGGGTTAAGTGATAAAATAGAAGGGAACCCAGGCCCTCAGGCTCTAGCACACCAGCAGGTGCTGGTGAAGACAATCCCCTCTTGGAACTTTCACTGGGGCTTCTGCCTCATGATTTTATTTTTGACTCCCTGCTTTATATGTTCAGTCTCATCTCTGTTCCCTGATTAATTTTTCCTCTGATTCATGCACAAGCTCTCTGCCATTTTCCTGCTCCATCTGTATCCTCCACAGAACCCAGTGCCATGTACCCCAAAGGTGCTAATTAACAGGAGGCTTATTTCTTCAATGAGCAGTAGGCATCCTATTTCTGCTCATATTTTTTGTGGAGTGCTGGAGATCCAATCCAGGGTCTCATGCATGCAAGGCAAGAACTCTACCACTGAGCCACATCTCCAGCCCCTTCTGCTCTTTTTTAAGAAAGCACTGCAGCAGCATTTTACAAAATGTGCTTTTAATTCATATGTTTCACGAAGGAAGCTTGCCATGGTCAGATCCATTTGGTTAAGGCCACAATGGAAAGCATGGTTTGCATGAGCAATATTTAGGGCTGAGTGATGCCCTATGTAAAGAAATGGGGTCAGATTTATCCCGGGAATCAGAATGATGTCACTGGGCTTTCTTTTTAATGACTTGGGCAACCCTGGATGACGGAGCTCTGTGCACTGGTATCCATGTGCCAGCTGGGTGGAACAAGAGAGGGTGCACAAGGCCAGGAAAGCTCATGAGACCAAACTTCATGAAAAGGAGGATGAGGCTGAGAACAGCTAAGCCTGTGCCAGGCCCTGGGGAGGGGATGTGCAGGTGTTAACCTTGGGGAAACCTTAAAAGAAACTTGCTTTTTTCCAGCAACACGTCTCTTCCCAGCATAAAGCAGTAAGGTGCAGTGTGGCAGACATTACCCGCCACCCTGCATTCGCTCTGCAGAGAAAAGCAAGGAAGTGAGATTCTCGCCAGGCCTCAGGGAGTCCAAACCTCTAGGCTGCTTCAGCTGACTTGTGCTCCCTGTCTCTAATGAGTGCTGTAAGAAATGGCAAATCCCTTCTTCTACCCCCCGCCCCCCCCCACCCAGGGTACATGGTTTCTAAGCTTCCTAATGATCACAGTGACTTTAGAAAGAACTTGCTTAAAGCACTTTATAACTGCACTGCTTTCTGGCAGCACAAGGCTGCAGCCTATTCAGGGGCTTCAGGATTCACCTTTCCGTGTGGAAAAAGACTCAACACTCATGAATTTAACTTGCACAGGCACAAACTGGAGCCTGGAGAGGCTGGGCTTCAGAGACACTAACCTTTTCTATTTGCCATCTTTGGGGTGTAGCTATTTATTATAACTAAATCTTCTGGAATTCCTCAACAAACTGTAGCATAAAGGAGACTTTATAAAAGTGGGGCCCTTCTCTAATCTGCTGAACTCCTGTATTTTCCTGTTTCAGATGATCCCATTTAGATGTTAGCCCTATGAAGACAGGGCATTTTTTTGCCCTATAATGGCTTGTCCCAGAGATGCATGCTGTTGTCTGTGGCCAAGCCCAATAAGTATTCCTTGAATGAATGTGAGATGAGTCGGTGAATGAATGAAATTATGAGAGAGGGATAGAAGTGTGGTTCCTGAGGGAAGCCAGAGTTAACAGAAGCTGTGAGATTTTCCCAGGCTCAGGCTGCTCAGCACTTTCACCTTCTGTAGATGTGGACAGATGGGTAGGGTTAGATGACAGAGAGACAAGAAATTCATGACAAGGAGAGAGAATGATGAAGGCGTGGCTTATGCCAGGAGGAATGGATAGCCTGACCGCAGAGTAGAAAGGTGCTTCAGAGGAAGGGAGCATGGTGGGAAATCACACATCTCTGGGGAAAGGAAGACGCACAGCGTGAAGCTGAGATAAGACACCACCATGTTGTCACTGCTTCAGGTGTGACATCCGGGGGACCCTTGTAAATCGGTCACTCCTGGTCATGACTTGAGTTGCATGAGAGTTTGATTCCACATCAGAACCTATTTAGGAATCTACACCCCCAAATAGTATAGAGGATGGTAGTACAAAAATTAAAACCCACAATCCTTCTTTAAGGAACCACAGCCCTCCCTATGGCTCCAAAGACTTGAGAAGTTTTTCCCCAGCCTTTACTGAAGAATCTTTGTGCTCTGAATTACTATTTAATTCCCCCTTTCAACTTGCAGGTAGAAACAGCAAAGGCTTTTATTGGTGCCTTATAATAGTTTTATATGAGCCACCTAAATCTTCCCCATAGATACTGATCATAGCTGTAAAAGGTTTCATGATTATTTGTAGGTGGATGCTAATTCCCCCTTTATATTTTCACAAAGAAAACACAGTTAAGCAAATTTTGTTGATATTTATGGCCCCTGTCCTTCTGATCCCCAAGATGGGAAAAGGTGGGATTCTAAGCACGTCTAATCCATAAAACTCCCTTCCTGTGATTTATATGTGGTCACTCGTCCCAGGTGGTAGACTTCCCTGTCTGGTTACTGCCTTGCTGACCCTCAGGGAAGCTCTTTCCATAGGTTTTTTCCTGTTAGTGATTTTTACAGCACACTTGGAAATTTCTGGAAGTCACATATTTTTGGGCAGTGAAAGATGATGCTTTGGACATCAAAAGAAGCACGGTCATTAGGGGACTACCAGAAGGGGTCACAGTGGAGCAAGCCAGGAGCCCCCAAAGGCTCCTCTGTGCTGTCTGAGGTTGAGGGGTACAGGAGGCTAAGGAAGTAGGCGATGACAGCCAGAACCAGGGACTCCCTGGCCTCAAGCCCAGAAGGCGGGGCGCAGTGCTTACCTCGGGGCTGGAGTAGTGGGGTGGCTTGCTGCCCTCACTCTCACTGGAGCTGCTCTCAGTCTCCGAGTCAGATCCTGAGCTGCTCTCTGAGTCGCTGGAAGAGCTGCTACTGCTGCTGCTGCTGCCGCTGCTGCTGCCCTTGCTGGACGGCACAGAGCTCCTGCAGTTGGTCTGCTGGACCACAGTGCTGCCAGGCAGGGAAAGGAAAGGAAGGGAAGCCAAGTGAGCAAACAGGAAGGCACCCGCGGGCTGCCACCCAGGCAAAGGGAAGGGGAGGCGCAAACTGCACGTTCATCAGCCAGGGCCTGCGCTCAGGGAGGGGTTGGTCATCAGGATCAAAGGCAGCCTGATGGTTGAGCAAAAGGAACCAGACACAAAATTAAAACAGAGGATGGAAGCTGGTTCTCCTGGGGAGCTGGGCGCTGGTTCTAGAGTGTGCGGTGGCCACTTTATCTGGGAGGGTGGTGTTGAATCCCAGTGGCTGTTTCTGTGAGGCTGCTCTTTCTGGGAATGGTCTTTCCTGGTTATTCCCTGATCCACGCACCTATACCAATTCAAGAAATCCAGAAATCTGGGAAATTGTTTGCAAAGTATCAAACTGACTGTTTACTTATTTTTGCCCCTGAAAAAAAAACCCATAGCCCGATGGCAAAGTTCAGGAAGAGGGCTGTCAGGAAGGGACAATTTTTATGCCTGCTGGAAGGTTCCATGTTTTGGGACTGTAAGAATTCAGGCCTTGCTTCCCTCCTTTTTTTTTTTTTTGCCTATGGAGTCTAGGGCTGTGCTCATCCCTGGAACTGGCCTCGTGTGGAAACAGAAGCTTTCCTTCAAGCCTTCAGTAAAGAACTACAGATCTCTTAGGGATATACTTTTATATATTCCAGACTTTAAAAGGCAAATTTACACTTGGTGTTTATATCCATGCTGAAATCCTCCTCGAACTCCTTACATAACTCAGAAACAACAGGGGAAAAAAATCAATCTGTGCTTTCCAAGGCTAATTCATTAACCACACACAAAAAAATTGCAAATAGCACACAGCCACCCAGAGAGCATTTAGGCCAAAGAGAAAAATCTGAGTACTCACATTATTTTCAGCATCTTCCAACTCCTTTATTAACTGAATTGCAACACACTTGAATGTGTGCTTTTGAGGTCAAGCGCTAAACCCAAAAGAACTGCTGGTCACTTTTTTATGTCAAGTCAGCAAAAACCCTGCATCATTTTCAGTGTGACCACAGCTTTCACGGGGCTGCACATTAGGGAGAGGCAGGGCTCATTAGGGTTTATGGTTTCCAGTGCAAAGCAGGCTGCACAAGGTAAAGAACCCCTCTCACCCATCCTTTAAGTCTCTGACAAATGCTTTTGCCCAAGGACAGACTCTCGTAAATCCTGGGTGTGGGGGCTGGGAGGAGGGCAAGTCTCATTAGATTCTTGCTTCCCCAATGAAATCCACACGACCAAAAAAAAAAAAAAAAAAAAAAAAAAAAATCTCGTAGGAACTTGGACAGGCAAAGCACCTTTCTGAATGGTGCCTGCTATGCCTGAGCGACAGAGATTTCTTCCCTAGCTTGTCGTTCCAGTTAGGTATAGAGGGAAGAATCCAAGATCTTGAGACAGGAGGGGAAGTTAGTACTCCAGGACTGTGCTATTTCTTTTCTTCTCTTATGAATGAAAATTCACGTTGCTGTTGGCTGAATGGAGATTGGTACTATCAATGTAATAATAATAATAATAATAATAATAGACTATTAGGTTCTGGCCAAATTGCGAATCCATGTTAATAATTTGTTGGGTAGCCCTCAAAATACAAGGCGGACAAACAATATCAAGAAAAGCAAAAACAACACACAACCAACAACTTTCTGGTTAAAAGGGATGCTGGGTACAGATGCCCTGGAAAGAGATTGTGACTCTGTGCTACGCTCCACGATGACATTTGCTGAAGACCAGGAAAGTAAGACAGACAAAGAACATTTTGATTGGCTTTATAAAATGATGGTCGATGTTTTGATTAGTATATTCTCCCTGCTTATATTCGTACGAGAAACAGCTGGTTGTGTGTGTGCCTGGGCAGAGGCAGTGATTGTGTGTGTGTGTGTAAATAACTGTCTTTTAAAAAGTATCACTTTAATTTTAGGGGAAAATGTCCCCTGAACAATTACCATGCTGCCTTCCTTTAATGATTGTGGCTCTGTTGTAATGAGGTACCCTAGGCCAAGGTGACCTGAATGAGATTGACAGAAAAGCCTCATTTGCCTGCTTTTCTCTCTTACATTAGGAAACTGACTTAAAAAGACAGTTTTCCTGGCATAACTGTTATTTGTGTTTAAGATGGCTCAGAGAGCCAAGAACTGAGATATTCATTTCTCCATGCTTTTGTGAGCACTGAGGCTCCCGGTATCTCTGGGGTAGGGGTGGAGGGGGTATAGCCAGGGAAGAGGTGAAGGATGTCACAGACTTGCTCAGAAGGGCTCTGCGGGCCAGTTGTGAGACAGAGAGGACCACTCAGCACCCCAGCTCAGCTCTTGTGTTTGTGAGCATTGAGGCTCCCGGTATCTCTGGGGTTAGGGCAGAAAATACAGACTTTCAATAATTTAACTTCAGATTTCTCAATTTAACGAGGGTGTGAAAGCAATATGCACTCATCACAGACAAGGCCAATTTTGAATTTCATTTTTTCTGAGGTAGTGGTTCTCTCTGGTGTGGCTGGGCCAGGGCAGCCCACGGTCAGCTGTGATGACTGTGTGCCGAGAGGTTGGTAGGTTAGGTGCACTGCAAGCTGCCCTTCCCTTCCTTCCTTCCTTCCTTCCTTCCTTCCTTCCTTCCTTCCTTCCTTCCTTCCTTCCTTCCTTATTTCTCCCCTTCCTTTCCTTCCCCCTCTCTCTTCCCTCTTCTCTCCCTCCTTTTCCTTTTCTCTTTTTTTTTTTTCCCAGTACGGGGGACTGAATTCAAAGGCTCTGCACGAGCACCCCTCACAGCCCATTTTAGTTTCATTTCTGAGATGGTGGCCTCACTAAATCATCAAGCTGCCCAGGCTGGGCTTGAATTTGTGACCCACCTACCTCAGCCTCTCAGAATGCTGGGATTGCATGTGGGCATCACCCTGCCTGGCTAAATCCACTTTCAATCAATGACATTTTCCATATTTAATACATTTAATGGGACATAGCTTCATGGTACACTGAGGAGCATCAGGTATTTCTGCATCACAGGTCTGTGTGTGGAGGGGGTATAGCCAGGGAAGAGGTGAAGGATGTCACAGACTTGCTCAGAAGGGCTCTGCGGGCCAGTTGTGAGTTAGAGAGGACCACTCAGCACCCCAGCTCCATCCAGGTAGTTCCATTACCTGGTGTGTATCCTGGGGGGAGGACCTGTCACCCTGGCCTCAGGACAGAGACTGTTCTGTTTTTTCTTTCATTTTCCAAAGGCAAATTATAAATTTATTTAATAAATTTCTTGAAATTATTACATATTTTGATAACTTGTTCAAGGTTTTCAAGCAAAAATGAAGCTAAGCGCTTATTATTACCAACGATTATAACCATTACAACATCCTTTCTGAGTGTTAACCAAGTAATAAAAAAATGTATGACAGAAAGGGCTGAGATGAAAAGTTTTTAAAAAGTAACAAAGCAGGTGAATCCTTTCTCTCCCTAACAGATTCAGATCAGAGCTGTCAATTCCGATGGATTTGTCATGTTTTGTTCAATGTATCTAGTAAAATTCTCTATGCTGAATAAGAGCACCACAAGTATATTTGAAATCGTATCACCAAGTAACATCCCCTCTTTTTTTTTGCCTACAGACCCACCAGAACTCAGAGCTGATGCCAAATAAGACCCCAGCCAGAGAATTTGTTCATCAGAGACTTCCAGGTGACCCAGGGTTATAAATAGGGAAGTAGGGGGAGCTCAGGGAAGTCAAGCAGGGCTCTTGGAAAACAAAATCCAGAAGATGGAAAAGGATCCATCAGAAAGACTTTCCTGAAAGAAGGCTTTGTATACTTAAAATTGCAAATGGCAAATGCTAACGTGCTGGTTGTCATGTTTACATACCACAGATATTGCAAAAAAAAAAAAAAAATTACCTTGGTGGAATTTTCCCTGAAATAATACCACACACAGCATTGACATGGCTCTGGAGGAGTTTTAGGGTTATTACATGCCAAGTGCTTGGACCCTATGCCACTTCATGAACATGGTGCTGCTGACTCTGAAGACAGGGAAGTGTCACTGAGATCATGGAAGAAAAGTTTTTGTGTCACCAAAGCAAAACACAGTGCTCAGCGTTTGTGTGGACTTACTGGATGGAAAAAAAAAAAAAAAAAAAAAAAGGAAAATTCCATCTTGGGGCCAACAAGTCTTAAAAATGGAGACCCAACCTTTCATAAAGAGCTAGTCTCTCCCTTCCTCTCTCCTTCCAGTCTGGGGTCGAACCCCAGGGTCTCACTCATGGCAGGCAAGTGCTGTACCACTAAGCCATGTCTTCTGTTCATCTCTTCTCTGATTAAAAAACAGGTAAGCAGACTTCAGAATCTCATACTTTTCAGTTTTAACACTTCTTTCTTGCAGAGAAAATTTCTTTAAAATGCACTCTGCTCCGTCTGCTATAATCTACACACGGCTCCCTCACAGGGGGTGTATTTACTTTGTGCATTTTGATTTTATTAATTGTCCTGCTGGTTTTGTGAGTAGCTGGCACTCCAGTGCCTCAAAACACACCTTGGAACATGTCAGGCTTTACTTTTCTTGTCATGCCCCTTCCTCTGGCTCCACTAACTCGCTTCTTTCCGAATGTGGCCCGGGCTAAGTCTGAACATAGACTGTTACAGAAAAGACCTGGAGTCGAAATGACAAATCCTGGATCTCGCTGCCAGGAGTCCTCCTGCTGCCAAGGGAGCCGTGGGGCCTGGATAAACAGCCTCAGTTACCCACAGCTGCTCCCTGACAAGTGATGTGGAGACGGGCTCTGTGCCTGGTTGGCACTGTGGGGAAAGCTGTGCTGCCCAGCTCAGTGCCACACAGCCTGTGGGCGCCTAGACATCGCCTGAAGCGTAGCACTGAGTCCTCCCCACTGGATGCTGTAAGGATGCAGCACAGACCTCATCTCCCATCCATCATCTGCGTCCAGCAATAGTACTCCATTATTGACAGCATTGCTACAGACATCCGTGGATGTAAAACC